GTACTACATTGGTTGTTGATTGATTTATTGTTCAAAGTAACTTTTTAACAGATACAAAGTTTAATCATTGTATTCCTACAGTTCAAGTCTTCATTCAACAGTATTTTGGTTTCAACTGCTTAGAGAAAAATACATATTAAGGTAAGGCATTACTTGGGGAATATTTCCTCTGACACGCCAACACTGTCTGGTGTCCCCTTTGTCGTATCTGTCATTTTCATTTAAATATGTTTACGCAGCCTAGAAAAAAATACAGAAAGACATTATGGTGGGGCGCAAATGGCCTAGCGGTTAGGTCGCACCCTATACGGAGGCTATGGTGCTCCAAGCGGGTTCAGGTCTGGGCTTTGGCTCATTTCTCGCATGTCATTCCCCACTCTCCCCCTGGTTTCCTACTCTATCCACTGTCCTGTCAAATAAAAGGCAAAAAAGTATGTCTTCAAAATATGTCTTCATAAAAGAAAGAATGAAAGAAATATGGTTATAAAAAAAATAGTAACATGGGACAAAGTATGAATTGTTCATGCTTAGAATAAACCATGCTAAAAAGGGTTCAATGTTAAAAACAAGGACAGTCACACTGGTAACATCTCAAGTGTGTTACATTGCAGATTTTCTCACTGATACAACAGTTCACTTAGTGCTGTGTGCAATTGGAAGTGTGTTGCTAAGGCTCACAAAATGGTCCACCTGAGGTCAACTAAGTGAAACAGGAATTTTCTGAACGGCTGGTTTGCTTTGAAGTTTTGGAGATTGCTGACATGTAACTCGAAGTTCACCTCCCTGACACTTAATTGTAGGAAAACAATTCTGGAAAAACCCACCAAATGGATACTCGAACAGTTAAACTGATTGAGCCATGCTGCTTCTTTGTGTGATTATCATTAGACTCTCGTTAGGCTCCCAGAAGCAGATCAAAGTACCTGAACTGAAACAAAAAAGGGAGTAACCACAGTCATAAAAAGTAATGATTATTCTGAACATTAATCGTGAACTACTAACCCAGTGACCTCTTGTAGTTAAACGTGCTTAACAGCTGAGCTCGATCACACTGATAGGCACCCGGAAGACGTCAGCTCTTCTGTGTCTTATAATATACAAACAGCTTCAACATGGAGACAGGCTGCGTTTAAACGCTGTCAAGGCTGAGAGAAATGGGAGTGGGAGTGTTTATCCCATGCATTTGTTTAACTCTTTAAAAAGGTAAACACCCGGGAAGAGAGGGTTTCACTAAACAGAATTGTTCAGCCTAAATGCTCTAATGTTTTCTTTCTTGCCTGTAGAATTTGAATCCCTGTCACATAAATGAAGCTCAGGAGATGTTTGCTCAGCTTAGCTCTAAGAGTTTAAGGGACACAATAAGCCTGGCTTTGTCAAAAGGGAGCAAAACCTTCTTATCGCATCACTAAAGCTCATCCAGTAACATCTAATATCTACACTCTGTAGGGTTTCATTGTGCGTTTCAAATTGGCTGCCAGCTCTGCTATGGCCAAGAAATAGTCCATCTTATAACCCCGTGAAATATGAATATGTAGTTCTTGCACTTTGATTTAGTTAAATCAAGTATTTAATGAAATAGAATGTGAAGCTTAATTGGATTTAGGGTCTTTTTTGAAATTTTTAAAGTGGTCTTGTGAACTCTTAAACAAACAGATCTGGTGATAAAACACCAAATAAAACTGTTTCACTTTTGTACACTGAAAGTTGAAATGATTCTATCTTTCGCTAACTTAATTCTCTTTTTCCAGAAGTGAGAGCGCTGAAATTCTCAATCTGTTTGAATGATGATGATGAATTATTTTCCAGTGATGGCCTTAGCTTATGGAAGGCCGATTATCTGCGTTTAACAGACAAAATCTGTGACACATGTGGGTTAAACTTAAATGACAAGATAATTGTCACAAAACATGATTTCAATCACTCACACATGATATTGCCTCAGAAAGAGACAGACACAAGCTGCAGAGAGTTCAAAGACAAGTGAAGAAGAACAAGGGGAAAAAAGATGAATAGAGCAGAGTGTTCTCATTAAAGTTCATTTTAAATATCTTGATAAATCCACTGAGATGCTCAATGTAACTTAAAGCTAAATGTCAGGACAGTGCAACAACAGGCGCTCTGTTCTGGGTGGCATCTGACTGTCAAAGCAAGATAAGGATGTGCAGTTTTTGCCTCTGTGTGTGTGTGTGTGTGTACACAGTTGCAAGTTGTATTGTATCTGCTGTGTGCACTTGTAACACATGATGGCAGGATGGAGGTTTGACTGCAGAGGGGAAGAGAGAAATAAAACACTGAGCAGAATCACAGATTGCTTACAATTTGGGCAGTCAGCACATTCCGGCCATATCACACACATACTCACACACACACACTATACATGCACACTCATTTTTAAATGGGGGAGATCAAACTTGATCATAGTTTACCCTCCGCACACAGATTACAGTTATCGAGATAAAAACAAACAATAAGCAACCAGAGAGAGATGCAGCGATAAAAAGTAGGAAATTAAGAACCAGAAAAGGAGCAGACTTTTGTTCACAGATAGGACTGTTGTCGTAAACTGGCAATGTGAACTTGAGACAGATGCAGAGAAGGCAGCTCTTTTAATGTTCTTAGTGTCATATTTTGGGCTTGAAATGACTCTGGAGCTGGGAAGTTATTCATTTTAATAATTTATCAAGTAAACTACAGGATGATCTTAATATCTCCATTAAACTTTAAAGGTCCTCACATTGGGCCTTGAGGAACTTTGATGGAGTTTTCTCATTTCTTTTTATATCTTGCTAATATTTGGATGTTTTCTTTTTGGCAGCCTTCCTAGACAATTACCTTAAGCTGTGGTTTCAGTCATTTCGTAATCCTTTTTCTTTCTGAATTCAGAGCACTAGTCTTTCACCACTGTTTTCACTTTTGAAAGGCTGATGATTAACCCACAGATCCTGTAAACTATCACACCAGATGATAAATACTGGTGATGATGAACTTTTTCTTAGTCAGCTGAAGACACTGTCTACCGAGTAATAAGCCTTTTATCATCTTGTCTTTGATTTCATAACAATATGCTTTAATGTGAGACAGACTTAATATGTTGTGCCTGAGTTACTCTGACCTTCCAGAGAAGTCCCAAGACGTCGCAAGGAACCCTTAACTAACTCTGCTGTTCGACAGGGAAAAAACGTCTTCTTTCTATTTACTAAATCAGATAATATTCAGCAGATGTGTGCAGAAAACCTGTATAACGTTATTTCAGTTAACAGTACTGGAAATAGCGAAGATATGGCCTGAAAAACACGGACAAGAAATTTAAATTACAAAAAGGTATAGTGAGCATTTGCTGATACACACTATCGGAGCATTTATGGGGAAGGAGAAAACATCTTTAGAAATCCTTTCCATTCCTTTTCCCCTTAACTGGACTGACTTGGACAGTGGACTCCTCATAAGGAGTGCACATGCATGAACATACATTTGGAGTGTAGTGGGGGTTGAAGAGCAGAACGGTCATTATCTTACCTGCTTGACACTCACCAGATGGATAAATGACTGGATGCACACACACACACACACACACACACACAAATAGATTCCTATAGGAATTTCACCAAGCTGTTTTCCATCCCTAAAGCATCTACAGAAGGTTAACACATGCAGTGATAGATGAGCATCCTGGACACACTCTCTTCTTTCATCATCTAAACTACAACCTCCGTCGGCCTTGTGGTGAGAGAATGTGACACAAACAGCTGGAAGATGTCAATTCTCTTAATGGCTTTGTGTCTTCTCTGGAGTCCAAAGCAAGTCTGTACAAGACGATTTGTTCCCTTTACAGCGCGCACACAAGAGAGCCCACTTTCCACACACACACACACACACACACACACACACACACACACACACACACACACACACACACACACACACACACACACACACACACACACACACACACACACACACACACACACACACACACACACACACACACACACACACACCACACACACACACACACACACACACACACACACACAACACACACACACACACACACACACACACACACACACACACCACACACACACACACACACAACACACACACACACACACACACACACACCACACACACACACACACACACACACACACACACACACACACACACACACACACACACACACACACACACACACACACACACACACACACACACACACACACACACACACACCTGGGTCTCTAGTTTCCAAAACAGGATTCTAACTGTCACACAGAGAGATTCATTAACAATGGTCTTTGCTCTTACTTCCCCCCTAACCCTATGTTTAAAAAAACGAAAAGGCCAGGGGGTTGCAGAAAGAAAAATACGTAGAAAGCATGAATGCGGTCACAGAGCATGGAAATTATTCATCATGTAAGAAGAAAAAAAAGAGACAACATGGAGCGACATACATAACATACAAACACACACACACCAAATATGACCTACAGACTCCTAAAGCACTGATGGATTCATATTGTTTGCCCCTGCAGATCACCTCTGTGAAATCCAGATAGTGAGATAAGATAGTGTGTGTGTCTTGCCTTAACCCAAATGATTTCAGCCTTCATACTAACTATTGGGAAAGACTGTTTGGCCTGTTTGAACAAGATAGAGAGTACTGTCTTGTGATATTTCACTGCCCCTGGATGAGGTAAACGCTTCTCTAGCAGAAAATTTTGCAATTAACTTTTTATACAGATACCAACATTTCAACAGGTGTCAGTAACTTATTATGATCTTTGCATGAAGAGGCAAAATTGAATTAAAGGACTGAGCTTTAGACCATGTGTATTATGTGTCACCATCCTATTTTCCCCCCAAAATAGAGTTTTTAAACAATCTGGAGTCATATATCTTACATATTTACGCACACCAAAGCAGCCATACGGCCTTAAACCAACAATATGTTTTAAGCCATTTCAGGAGAGAAGAAGATAGCAGGGGTTAGCACTCACCAACAAAAACACAGAGAATATCCACCGCGATCAGGATCAGCTTCTTCCCTTTCTCCGTCATGTTTCCTCTGCTGCCGCTTCACTTTCATACATTAATCGCGTAATGGAAACAGGGCAGGTTTGAAAGCGCCTGGGGTAACTATGGAAAAAGTAGGCAACAATCAGGAGAGGTCGACCTGCTCGTTCTTCCGGCTCCGCTCCTCCGTGCAGTCTACCTGCCTGTCTACCTGCCTGTCCTCCTGTCTGTCTGTCTGTCTGACTGCACGCTGCGCTGTTCCAGGTGAGCAGCAGAGGACGCGTTGCGTTGCGCGGCCTGTCCCGCCTTTTACGCACAGGGGAGGGGGCGTATCTCCGCTCAAACATGGCTCTAGACACAAAGGATCAGGTTTTCCTGAAATTCTCGGTTTTCGAAGGAGGAAACAATTTATTTTCTTTCTTGGCCTACTTTCTCTTTCCCTGTTTTGCTCAATTTACCTTTTTAGCTACATTGAAGCAGCAATAAAACACACGTGTTTTGGCATGATTCAGTACTCAGGTCTCAGTCTGGTGAGCAAAACAAATATTGCCAGATAAAGAAGTTTGATTTCGTCACGGGATTTAAATAAACTAAAAGGTATCTTCACAGTTTGGTTTGGTAAACAGGTCTGCCTTTAAACTGGAAAGTAATCGCTGTTATGAAGCCAAAGTCACAATTTAGGCATGCGGTCACAAGTTTTGATTTATTGGCAGCAATTGCAAATTATAATGCTCATGTACACAAAAAATGTTGTAAACTGAAATGACGCCAACCCTGAAGTAATGGCTACCAACAAGGTGACTCATTATAATGGTTTAGCTTAAAGAAGTCTGCATTAGACTTAATATGTGTGGTTTCAAAGCAACCAGACATCGCTGACAAACTTCTGAGGAGGCAAGACGGTCCAAAAACAAATGGATGTTCAATGTAAAGAGAAAAGTCAGGACAGTGTATAGACAAAGAGAAGCAGCCGCTTCTGAGAGACACTGACACAAGGGATGTAACGATATGAAGAACACTGGAAGAAGAGTTGTTTGGTTGCATGCAATGACGTGAGTCTGTGTTTGCATGGTTAAGTTAGTTACCTCAAAGTTAAAGTGTTTTGGAGCTGCTGTGGCCCAGTGGGAAGAGTCAGTTGTCTCTCAGTCGGAAAGTTGGGGGTTTGATCCCACGCTCCTGCAGCCACATGTCCAACGCGTCCTTGGGCGAGGCACTCTACCCCGAGTTGCTCCCGCTGCTCCCGGCGGCGTATACATGTGTGTTTATGGGATTACTTAATCCTGATGGACACTTTGCTGCCATCGTTGTGTGAATGGGTGGGAATGGGAAGGTGTGACCTGCGGTGTAAAAGCGCTTTGAGTTGTCAGAATACTAGAAAAGCGCTATTCAAGTTCAAGAATATTTACAATACTATCACAAAAAAACTTTTCTCACTTATCAGGTCAAATGTATGTGCACATTACAACACCAAACAACCCAAAAGTAAAGCTTTCAGATACATCACATATCAGTTTTAGCACCATGATTGCCTATTCATGAATCAGAGTACCACAGAATAAACAAAAATAAAACATGCATATGCAAATACCATCACTGAGTCACTAATGCAGGTCAGATGCTGAGTTATTACATTTCTAACTTTCAAGTCAAGGCTGTCACACTTTAAAGCAACAACGTGTAAAGTATAGCAGAATGTTACAAAATTATAATTAATGCAACATTATTTTTAAATTCCCTTTCAGTCTTTTTGAATTTGTCAGGTCAAACTATCATGATCTGTAAATGTGAAACTGTAGCCAAAGTAGCTTAGCTTAGCATAAAGAGTGGAAGCAGTTGGAGAGAGCTTGCCAGGTGAAATGTCCTGTAGAACAAGAGGTCATGTTGTTCTTCACTCTTTATATTTGTTAAACGAATGAAATAACACAAGTTACTTAGAGGATTGCAGAGGCGTTCGGGATGCCACAGAATGCTGTTCCAAGGCTTTAGCAAAGCTAAGCTAACCAGCTGTTTGCTCAGATCTCATTTGACAGATGTGAAAATGGTACAGATCTTCTCATGGAACTCTTACAACACTGTAATCATAAAATTCACTTTTTATTTGGGTGTGAAACTAAATAGGCAGGAGAAATGTAAGTGCCATACTCTATAGGGCAGGAGGAGAAATCCACAAAAACTGACGGAGGAAATGGCAAAAATGAAACAGTGTCACAAAGAGCATCAGGGTGGATGAAGGAATCCGGCTGGAGTGAGGGGAAAGAGTTATAGAGGCTTTTAGAGTAAGGTTTTCGAGGTGACTTGACCTCAGCTGGGCGAAAAGGCAAAACAGAGGAAAGAGAGATGCTGCTGCAGTCGGAGCTTTGATTCTGTCTCTGAAGATGACAGAACATTTTCAGTTCATCAGTTTGGGAAAGCAGTGAATCAGATTCTGTGTCACTTCTGCTCTGCAGACACACATTCAGATCACACTCTCCCCCTAGCTGTAGCTTAATGTCACTGATGCTGACGCTGCTGTGGTGCCATTCATTATACTGAAGATGGGAGGGTGATAGAAAGGGTTTGGGGAGACTTTTGAGGTACTGAGAGAAGATGACGTCAGAGTAGATGGAGGACAGAGGGACAGATCAACTCCGCTTAAGCTATTGATGCACTTCTTCTCTGATTTTCTGTTGTAGCTCTGAGCCTCTGACAGTGGGAGCTGGGAGTAGCAGTGAGAGGGATATGTTTTGAGATTACACAAACTTTTACAGGCAAAGTCCATATCTAGGCTGGCGTTCTGGAGGTCTCTTTCAGCAAGCAAAAAAACTTCACAGTATTGGATTTCAGGCGCATCTGCGATTGCCCACTGCCTCGTACTCTGAGGGGGAAAAGAAACCATGTTTTTTAATTCATTAGCGGTATATTGTCTGCTACAGTTTTCCGCTTTCCCCACTTCATACCATCATTAAAATATTAATATTGTAATGCAAGGCAGTGAAAACACTTTGTGAGAACACATTAAAAAACTTAAGGTGAAAAATGGAACATGTAAACGAGTTTTATAATGTCTAGCATGAGACCTGAGTCACTCCCTGTTTTTAACTTTCACATCCCCCCCCCAAAAAAATAAATAAAATAAAAATAAAAATAAAAATTGAGGAAGAGGGAGAGAGAGAGAGGGAGCGAATAAACATATTGGTAATATTTGTCTCCCTGGAGTAAAAAAATTTGCGATCAAATCGTTTTTTATATTTGGAATCGGTATAATTAAATTGCTAGATTGTAATTATTTGCAGTGGAAGTTTGGAAAGTGACCTACAGAACAATGGTTCAGATGATTGCCTGCTGACAAGAGCAGGAGTTTGTTATCAACAGTCTGCTGGAGATTCATCTTATGCTGCCATCTAGTGGTTGTATTTATAACATAGCTGATGGTGCATTGACTGATACTGATGAGTACTGTTCTGACATTAGAGATTTGTATTCTTTTTGTTCCATTTGATAAAAAAATCATAACCCTGAATTAATAAAGGGAACTGATAAATTCCTTTTTTTATTTTCCTTGCTGTTTGCATATTCAGAGTTATCTTAAAGAAATACACCACTAGTATTATTATTATTTTTTTAAATACCCCGCTGTAGTTTCTTTTAATATATTTTATAGTGTTTATAGCGTTTGAGGAGACAGTTGAAGGCAGAGGATTCAGGCAGGTTACCTCCAAAGCAGTTTGTGGGGTCCAGTGAGCCAAGCTGCTGTGAGAAGGATTTGGGACGTCTTGGAACAGCTTCTGTTTCACCCTATACAGAAAAATAAAATAAATGAAAATAGTTTTCAGCCATACTTTTTTGCACATAGTTCTGTGTGTGTGTGTGTGTGTGTGTGTGTGTGTGTGTGTGTGTGTGTGTGTGTGTGTGTGTGTGTAGTTTGTGATGTCTTGGGTGCATGAAACACACATCTTACATCTTAGTCTGTGCCAGAAAGACCAACAGCAACAGCATCAGTAAAGTCAGTATGAGAGGTAGGACGGCCCTAATCGCTATGGAGACTTCCTCAGAGCCTGAAGATACACACACACACACACACACGCAGGCACGCGAACACACACACACACACACGGAAAAATACACAATGACATATATTCTAAGAGTTAGGTTACAGTTACAGCATTTTAGGGTTTTTATTTTTAGGGTGTTATGATACTGTGTGTGTGTGTGTGTGTCATCGCCACCTATGTGCACATTAGCAATGGGTCCAGCTGCTCCAGAACCAGCGTCAGTGTTGGCCATTATGAAGATGTGGTAATTACCAGGCGACAAATTCCTCAAAGAGTAACTTTGAGCGTGACCAGGTAAACACACACCTGAACAAACAAGAACAGGTACGACAAAGAAAATAAATGATCATGGTTAAAGTATAAATAAAAAACAAAAGAAAAAGCAAAGATGATCAACTCAACTCCTTTTGTCAACCCGTATATTGGGGTGAAAATGTACGTCTCGCTCACTTCTGTTTGGTTGGTTTGCTGTCGTGTAGTAAAGTGTGTAGTTGAGGATGAACCCATGCAGCAGCTCCACAGGTACAGAACTCCAGGTGAGCTCCACAGTGCTGCCTGAGATCTGCTTCACCTTCACAGTAGGACCAGCTGAGGGCGCTTCACAGGCAGAGAGATAGGAGGATCAACCACAGGGCATGATGTGAGAAGCGACTGGATCACTATCTGTATTTTCGTGACATGTGGTATGATAAAGTTGTGTTTTCTTCATAAACTGGCAGATCTTGTATGCTCTGACAGATGAGGACTGAGATTATTTTAGTTTCAAATTAGACAAAATTCATTACATTTTTTCTGAAAAATTACCAAACTGCCATTACTGCACCAGGAGAGGTTGTATTTTAGTACAAATAAGATGAGAGCTAAGGAGCATCTATGGCTGAATTTCAGCATTTTGCTGCCTGTTTGTGTTTTCTTCATTTGTCAATAATAACAATAAATAATAAATAAATGAATGTTAGTGATAACTTCTGTTATACTGAGTGTATTTTCACAAAACATTTATAAACAATGAATTAATATAAAATATGACCTTTTCTTATAAATAATCAAACATAATCTCACACCAAAACTAATTCATATGCTCTCACAGACTCTGGTCTCATGTCTGAAATCATCATTAAGACAAACGTCTGTTATGTCTCCGAAAGTCTTTCATGCTGGTCGCTCCTCTCGTCCGTCTGAGAGCAGTCGAGGTTAAACGGCACTCTCTGTTCGCAAACATCTTTGAACCGCAATGCATGATGGTATATTTACTGCTCGTTTAGTGACCATCGGTTGTACACTACGTTTTTCCAATGCATTGTGGGATACGGTAAGTGGACTATATATGATTATGAGTATAATCATGCTCACTCAGAATTCGGACACCACTACAAAATGGCATGAACACTATATAGTGAATAGTGATTGATTTGGCACAGCCTATTTGTTTAATCGAAATACTTTAATAAGAAAACAATAAGACAAATAGTCCACCATACTGTACCTCCTTGGCGTGTATAAACAAAGACCGTTCTGTTCTGTCCTGGACCTCGGTCACCATACAGCACTCTGACAGAAACAGCATAACGCTCCAACGCCTTGACCCCCTCTGAAACAAATAAAATAAGAGTACTTAGGTACATAAATACTTCATGAACTCAAAAACTTTATTCTGCATTCAACGATTCACTACTTTGTACTTTTGTACACTGAAAGTTGAACTGATTCTATCTTTCGCTAACTTAATTCTCTTTTTCCAGAAGTGAGAGCGCTGAAATTCTCAATCTGTTTGAATGATGATGATGAATTATTTTCCAGTGATGGCCTTAGCTTATGGAAGGCCGATTATCTGCGTTTAACAGACAAAATCTGTGACACATGTGGGTTAAACTTAAAGTGTCACAAAACATGATTTCAATCACACACACATGATATTGCCTCAGAAAGAGACAGACACAAGCTGCAGAGAGTTCAAAAACAAGTGAAGAAGAACAAGGGAAAAAAAGATGAATAGAGCAGAGTGTTCTCATTAAAGTTCATTTTTAATATCTTGATAAATCCACTGAGATGCTCAATGTAACTTAAAGCTAAATGTCAGGACAGTGCAACAACAGGTGCTCTGTTCTGGGTGGCATCTGACTGTCAAAGCAAGATAAGGATGTGCAGTTTTGCCTCTGTGTGTGTGTGTGTGTGTGTGTGTGTGTGTGTGTGTGTGTGTGTGTGTGTGTGTGTGTGTGTGTGTGTGTGTGTGTGTGTACACAGTTGCAAGTTGTATTGTATCTGCTGTGTGCACTTGTAACACATGATGGCAGGATGGAGGTTTGACTGCAGAGGGGAAGAGAGAAATAAAACACTGAGCAGAATCACAGATGCTTACAATTTGGGCAGTCAGCACATTCCGGCCATATCACACACATACTCACACACACACACTATACATGCACACTCATTTTTAAATGGGGGAGATCAAACTTGATCATAGTTTACCCTCCGCCCACAGATCACAGTTATCAAGATAAAAACAAACAATAAGCAACCAGAGAGAGATGCAGCGATAAAAAGTAGGAAATTAAGAACCAGAAAAGGAGCAGACTTTTGTTCACAGATAGGACTGTTGTCGTAAACTGGCAATGTGAACTTGAGACAGATGCAGAGAAGGCAGCTCTTTTAATGTTCTTAGTGTCATATTTTGGGCTTGAAATGACTCTGGAGCTGGGAAGTTATTCATTTTAATAATTTATCAAGTAAACTACAGGATGATCTTAATATCTCCATTAAACTTTAAAGGTCCTCACATTGGGCCTTGAGGAACTTTGATGGAGTTTTCTCATTTCTTTTTATATCTTGCTAATATTTGGATGTTTTCTTTTTGGCAGCCTTCCTAGACAATTACCTTAAGCTGTGGTTTCAGTCATTTCGTAATCCTTTTTCTTTCTGAATTCAGAGCACTAGTCTTTCACCACTGTTTTCACTTTTGAAAGGCTGATGATTAACCCACAGATCCTGTAAACTATCACACCAGATGATAAATACTGGTGATGATGAACTTTTTCTTAGTCAGCTGAAGACATTGTCTACCGAGTAATAAGCCTTTTATCATCTTGTCTTTGATTTCATAACAATATGCTTTTATGTGAGACAGACTTAATATGAAGTGTTCTGCCTGAGTTACTCTGACCTTCCAGAGGAGTCCCAAGACGTCGCAAGGAACACACACACACACACACACACACACACCTGGGTCTCTAGTTTCCAAAACAGGATTCTAACTGTCACACAGAGAGATTCATTAACAATGGTCTTTGCTCTTACTTCCCCCCTAACCCTATGTTTAAAAAAACGAAAAGGCCAGGGGTTGCAGAAAGAAAAATACGTAGAAAGCATGAATGCGGTCACAGAGCATGGAAATTATTCATCATGTAAGAAGAAACAAAAGAGACAACATGGAGCGACATACATAACATACAAACAAACAAACACACACACACACACACACACCAAATATGACCCACAGACTCCTAAAGCACTGATGGATTCATATTGTTACATAAGATTTCTGCATTCAACGATTCACTACTTTGTATTATCAGCTGTAAATTGGCCAAAGGAGGCTAATATTTCATACATAACGTTGTTCTATGTGTTGAGATTACCTGTGATGACTAATGCGGTACAAGAACTGTTCAGCATTTCCCACTGTAGGCTGCTGCTGTTTTTCTCTCTCACAGCGAACCACTCCACTACATAGCCACTCACGGGCCAACCGACTGGAGCCATCCAACGAACATCCAACCTGCTGTCGTCCAGTGAACAAGCAGTAAGATTGCTCGGGCTTGGTGGCTCTGAAGGCAAAAATGGAAGTTTTTTTTCAGAAATCTTGCTGGTGAATTTTGCAAATGTGCAGTCTATTGACCAGTTTCTGATCCATTGCTGGTAAAAGACTGTTACAGAAGTCCAGTCATGAGGAGATCAAACGTCAATAATGTTATGTGTGTCATTTAAAGTTTGAACTGATCTTATCCTGGCTATATTTCTGATGTGGTGGTATGATGATTGGATGACTTGGTTTGTTTGATTCTCAAAAGTGAGTTTGCTGTCAAAGGTAACAGCCACGTTGCTGACATTTAGATTTACATTAAGTGCAAGGGGACCAAGTTAGGACTGAATCAATGGGTGCGCCCAATAATCAGAATCTCTGTTTTTTCAGGGTTTCTTTTAAAAGAAGAATTTGCTGACATGCTTGTTTGAATATCTTTTAAACAATGTATGGGAATCGTGATGTTTTGAGGGGAGCTTTAGTATATTCAGCTGTGTGTCATCAGCATAACAGTTTGAATAAATATTATGTCTTTGTGCTAGTATATCAACCAATTCCGCTATTTTAAGCTGCAAACTGCTTTGCTGAGGGGCGTAATGATATCAGATTGGGTTAGACTAAAGCAGCCTGTGATACACAGGGTGGAGTCACCTGGGCCCAATGCTTCAGGCCTCTACAAAGATTACGACCCTAATCCTGAACGCAAACTATCTTTATGCGCCTTGTTTGTTTCTTTAAATAGAGTTCATTTTCATCGCCACCCACACACCATGCTGCTTTTGTAAATCAGTAAACTAAAGTCTAATTTTTGAAGTCTAATTTTGCCGTACCTCCCTCTAATGGCCATGGCCCTTTGAGTCAGTCACGCCAGAAGTGATTCAAAGCAACAGTTTTTGCTCTTTCACCTTGAAGACTTTCATATTGTTGCAGTTTATTCTAAACAAAATAAAGTGACAGGTTGATGCGTGGCAATACAAAAAAAATACCTAGAAGAAACTGCCTCCACACACCTGTCAAAGTGATAGAGATGACTGGATTGTCATTTTCCAAAGTTACAAAAATACTAGACTAAATGAGGAACATATTTTAAATAGAGTTCATGAGACATAATGAAAAATGTAAACTGTTCTGGAAAGTTAGATGGAAAGCATCTAAAAAAGAGACATTAGCCGAGCCGATGAAGCTCTGTTGATCGAGAAGGCATCCCATGTACGGAGGCGATAGTCCTTGTCGCGCTAGGTGCAAGTTTAACTTCTAAAGCTGACGCTGTTTGGTGCATTATCCTCCATTCCCGCTCCTCACATTTCCTTTGTCTCTCAAACTGAACTGTCAAATAAAGGACAAAAAAAACACCAAAAGAATCTTCCACTTTGCCACCAATCCTAGAAAACCTACTTACCAAAGTAACACATTCTAAGAGTATGATTTTAGCTTCAAGTGATGATGCAGCTTAACATCGCCAACTGCCCCTTATTGTCATTGACAAACATCAACACGATTATACCTCTTTCAGAAGCTCCAGGGAGCCATATTCGGGCTTCTGACGAGTTCCCTGCAGAGGTGGAGGCTGTCAGAGCGCATGATGACCGTCCAGCAGGAAGGAGCAGGCTACAGCAAGTACTTGTGGAGTTCAAATCTCTGCAGTTCCCATGATCGTATAGAACATGAGGGCTTTCTGTGTGACAGGTTACATTGTAGAAGAGAACTCTGCCATTGGCCAGAAAGCCAGGCAGTGGCTGAAAAAAAAAAAAACAAACGAAGCAGGAGAGAAAACAAGATGCAATGAGTCAACGTGAGATAATTGATGTGTAAATCAGAATTCATAAAAGCAGATTATGTCAAATTGATACTCTCTCTCTCCTTCTCAACTTCTAATTGGACTATAAGGAAATGAAAAAGTAACTTCATGGAGGTATAAAAGACAATTACGGACAGAGGATGATTGAAAACTAATCAGTCCAATCCAAAAGTTATTAAACTATAAAGCTCAGAATGATATGAGCACTCATGACTCAAATCCACATGCATTTCAAGACACACACACACACACACACACACACACACACACACACACACACCTTCCACAGCAGTGAAATATGTCTCCAACCGTTCTTCTGTGTTTGCTTCACTTGCCTCCAGAATGCTGGTGCTGCAGACGGAGCTGGTGGATAAACGGAGAGGAAACAATAATCAGCAATGAAAATCAGAAACACTTTCACATATTGCGTCCAAGTGATAACACTCCGGTCATCATAGACACGTCGCGATGCCCCGAAGAAGAATCCTTATATCTTTGGGAACACCTTTCGCCCAACCAATACCATGAGGTTTACTTTTAGTTAGGTGGACTGCACTTTGTAATGTTTTTGGAGTCGGCACTCATCATTTCATTTGTATTCATACACTGATGGCAGAGGCTGCTGTGCAAAGCGTCGGGCTCCTCGTCAGTGAAGTGTCTCACAAAGACTTTTCCTTGTATTTCATCTTTAGTCAAACCCAGAACAAAGAGAAAAATGCAAATAAGTATTGGATCCTCTTGTGAGGGTTCCAGTGCTGTCATGGGAGTGTGACTACATTGTTTACTTGTTGTTTTACTTTTCTTTGGAGAGGCTCTATGACTGTGTTCCTCTGGATTTCTTGTGGTGGTTACTGTGAGTATATAAGACACTAATCCAGATTCTGTAGTTGGAAAAAGTTTCCAGGCAACTGGGATTAGACCCCTTGTCATACCTACAACATCCTGAAGGAATTACACTGTACATCCTCTCTGATCTAAGAATGCCTCAGGGTCCTGTTTGAGAAGGTGGGTTAAAGGTTATGTGGTGTTGGATCTAAGCTTCCTATTCAACCTCGGAGGTTAAGACATGTGATAGAAAATTGATTGATAAAGGAGATTATTTAGAACTGCAGGTTGATTGGTTCAGAAAAGTCATACGGATATTCTAAACAATCCTGTGTCTTGCTTAAGTGCAAATCTGTATCTGGAGAATACCAGATTTCTTCTTGTTTTCATCACTGACATGAACTGCCAGTGGTTTCAATATCAAGCAGAAAACATTACACACAGGTGTCCTCTCACCATCCTCTCCTGTCCTCCCCCAGGCTGCATTGCTCCATGGGCTCCAGGGACTCTTTGCGCCCAGGTATCGGTGACGAAGTCTGATGCTGTATGAGGTGTCAGGTCTGGGGAGACAAACCAGGAAGCTGTAGTCCCTCACTGTCTCATTTTGGTCCTGAACATCGAACTTCAAAAGTAATAGGACATAAGAAGGTAGTCAACAGGGCAAAGGAGGATGAGCGTTATAGAGATTATGGCATTTTTTTTATATAATGTGCCACTTGCTTTAGTTTTAGAAACAAATAAATAATATTACAAAACATTTAAAGTCTTTGTTTTAACCTTGAGAAACAGTACCACTACTCTTATAAATGAATGTGCATGCTCATTCAGATGTGTGTGGGTAGGTGTATACCTGTCCCTGTTCTGCAAACTGTATTTGGGATGTCAGGTTTCCAGCTTTGACTTCAGGGTGAGATACTGGAAATTCAGACAAGGTGCTGCTCCAGGTTACATTCAGACACTTAGGTCTCCCTTTGACTGGCTTGACACTGTTCAAACTCACAGGAGGCAACATCACTGAGGCAGACAGAGAAAAGTTAGGAAGCGGTTAGGCGAGAACAATCAGGGTGCAAGTGCGTCAACAGCCTTACCTTCAATTCTACCCGACTGACAGCGAGTTAGTGACGAAATGTTGCTGCTGTGACCATGAGCTGTGATGGTTGTGCAAAATGTAAATCTAACAGATGAGCCGTGAAGCTGTGCTGTGCAGCTGGTGCCAGAGGTGGTGCAGCTGAACGTTTTCAGAGTGCTGTTTCTTGAGATGTTTGCTCTATGGTTCCTGAAATACACACAAGACATAGAAGCATTACCAAAAAACAGAAACAGACACAGTGACATACAAGATAACACGCTCATCTGAGTTCAAGTCTTGCGGATGGCAAAAGGGAAAACAAGCCAACACAAAAAGCCCAAGTATGCATGGCAAGAGGATCCACATTTGCATGTTTCAGATACATAGACAAGAGCACACGCCAACATTGCTCACACATTTAAAAAAAAAAATCTGCTCTAAAATTCTGTGCAAAGATCTGCAATCTTATTTCCATTTCAAAAACCATGTAGCAACTGATATTGGCAGGATAAAAACAGACAATATAACCCCACAAACTGAAGCTGCAAAGCGAGAGACTTTATCGTATCAGTGAATCAAAACCACCATCAAAGCCTCACACGAATGTGAGATTAGAAGTGAATCTTTCAATCAACAATAATGTTGGCACACACTTTCAAACATGCTAACATGCACAAACACATCCTTTTTTTTTTTTTTGCTGCACAAGCACGCAGATGATCCAGTTTGACTAGATCATTTCTAAAAATAAAAGAAAACGCCAACAGTGAAAAACATGTTTCCCTAGGGAGCAGCATGTTTGAAGGAAACGTTGTTAACATGACTCGTATCATCTAGATTATTCTTGAATTTAAAGAAAACTTTTGTCCCACTATATTTTTAAGGAAACGATCCTTATTGCGAGGAGAGTTATGATAGATTTTAAAGGAACAATGTTACCAGGCAGATAGAGAAAATGTGTGAAAAAGCTCTGCTCTGTGAAAAAAATTAATAAATCAGATATAAAGTATATCAAATGTCAAGGGTGTATCTTAGAAAAGATCTATTTCCTGTGTAGCAGAGTGGTGACGTGCGACTCTACTAAGCCTGAACTTCTCTAAATGTAGATTTGTCATGCAGGCTGCAGACAGGTATAATAGACGTAGTTTCTCAAGTTGAATTTGAACGTAATTACAAAAGTAAATAACATGGTTTGCCTTCCTCACTCTAATAAATGTATCCTCTGGGCCAACGTTTTATTCATATTTGTCTGATTTATCACTTCTCCAACAAAATAGTTGTTGGAAAGAATTGTAAAGCAGCTTAAGAATTTCTTAAGGGACAGAATAATAAAAGTTCTTGGCGAAGATTTCTATGGAAAATGTCACTGTTTTCCAAAAGGAACATGATACAGAGAAATGCAATTTTAAATGCAAAGACAAGCATGACATGGAATCTAAAAATCTGGTTTGATTTTTCCTCTGTGCCCTAAAGCTTTATTGATTTAAAAAAAAAAAAAAAAACTACCAATAAAGATGGGCGCCGATAGCCTAGCAGTTTTGACGCGACCCATAAACAGGCAATTGTCCTTAGAACAGCCGGGGGTTCGAATCCGAACTCGGCCCTTTGCTGCATGTCACCCCACAATCTCCCCTCCCTAGATTTCCTGTCTCTCTTCAGCTGTCTCTAATAAAGGCAAAAAGGCCAAAAAATGTCCCCCCCCGACCCCCAAACCAAAAAACTACCAGAAAAGCATCAATGAACCCACACATTTGTATGGGGGTGTCATGACATGTTCATTAAAAACAGAAAAAGTTATATGTTTAACTGTAAGAAGACAGCAGGATGAGATTTTGTCATCAGACTTTATAGAAATCACCACAATTACACAAACAATTCAAAAAACATACAGTAGGTGCTCCACTCAACTGTGGTTGACTTACTGAAGCATGTTTCATTAGTTAAAAGGCTCGCCTTGGAAAAAGCCTGATCCCTGCCGCTATTGCTGCCCTGAACAAAAAGCCTTGCTGAACAGGCCAGGGTGGGAACTTTTGACTGTTGTTTATCTTTGTTTGTTTTATACACTGTGTTTTGTGTATGTACAGTTCTTTGTACTGAAACGGGGCTGTGAGAAGGGATTTCCCCATGGTCAAAGTCTACAGTATGCGTTCAAGAAAGACTTTGAACATACTGAAGGCATGCTACTACTCACCAAGGCCTCCTCTCAATTTGCAGGGTGTATCCCGTCCACAGTGTGTCCCCTTGCTCCCAGTGGCAGGTGACGTTAGCTCGATTTAGGAACACACAGCCAATCAGCTGTGGGGGTCTGGGGGCCTTCTTGGACGTTGTAAGGGAGACGGCTGGAGGTAAGGCTGAAGATAGAGAGAGGCTGGAGTTAATAGCATAGAGATCTTTTTTTTATCTATCTTTAGGCTAAAGAAAAAGAGGCGGCCTGGGTTCAAGTCCCCACTCTCTCTCTCTCTCTCTCTCTCTCTCTCTCTCTCTCTCTCTCTCTCTCTCCCTCTCTCTCTCCACAGTCTGTCCACTGTCCTGTCTCAATTAAGGCAAAAAAAGGCTAAAAATAAATCTTTAAAAAAAAAGAAAAAAGAATGGGAGATAGACGAAAGACAAACATGTGAGAAATAAGCAATGAGGAAATAAGTGAATCTGTTTCTGCGGGTTGACTGTTTCCAAATGAAAGTGCTCAAATATTTATTAAAACAGACCTTAGAAGAATTATATCTGAAACCAATCTTTCCAAGTAGCATTCAAATGATCCATCTTGTGTAACGCGTATGAAAGGCTGCAATGGCTATTTTAGCCTCAGCGTTCAAACAGCAGCTTCGACAAAACTCAGACAGATGGCCTGGATCTGACTCTCACAAATAATCTCAGCTCGTTCAGCTGTCTTGCATTTCTATGACGGCGGCAACCTTTAAGTAAATATGCTGGTATATTTTACAGTTCAGGACCTTTCCATGAAACTCTTTTTAGGGCTGTTATATTTACATATTCAAACTTCATATTTGCATACATGCTGATTATTTGACCAAACAAAGGCTTCACTTAGTTTAAAAAAAATGCTTATCTAGAATGACCCGACAAAAAGACAACTATAAGTATTATACCAGCAGCAGCAGCTCAGTCTATAGGGACTTGGGTTGGGAACCAGAGGAACCAGAGGGTCACCGGTTCAAGTCCCAGTGCAGCCAGTTCACTTCCTGAGCACTGCTGAGGTGATATCTTTGGGTGATTTAATTATGAACATGTCACCCTTGCCATCTGTTTCTGAAGGTCATTGAAGGTCTTTACTTGTTTCTCTTGAACCTCTTTTAAAATTTACACTGAAAAAATAGAGCAGCAAAGTTGTAACCAATTGATAACCACTCCTCTTAACGTCCCTTTGCCAAATGTGGAAACAAATCTATGGTTGCCTTAAAAAAACAATGGCAGGCCCTCTCCTTATACTAATGTATTAAAAACGTTGGTATTTGTATTGGATATATTGATGTGTTTTTTGAGTCAAAACTAGCAATTAGTCTCATTCGTTTAGTCTGGACTGGGTTAAAAAAGGGGGGACTCTGAATCATACCGAGGGTGATTGCGGCCCCCAGCAGGCAGGTCCACACCAACGCCGGGCTTTGATCCATGAACACCAACAGGTCAGTCCTGGTACTGCAGCCCAGCTCGCTCACTTCTCCATCACCCAACCAGTGACTCAGCTCCAGTACCTTCACAATTAACACAAACACTCAGTTTGCTGGTCACATCACATCATTTTCATTTCCTCAGCTTCTCAACCTGCAACATCATAGAATTGCCACATTGCACCAAATTATCTCGAACAATACAAAACACAGCCGTTTGCGCAATTTGACGTCCTGAGGTGGGTGTGTTAGTTTTAAGAAGGAAAAATGGGTGAATTGTGATGGAGTCAAAATAAAGTCAGGTCTGAACTTTTACAGCATAAACAAACCTCATCCGGGTGTAAGAGCTCAGGCTCGTCCTGTAGGAGCCTGGGGACAGTGCCCTGATTTGAAGGGCACTGTCACCAGGTTGTACTTTTTAATGATTGTGTGAAATGTAAAATAAGAGCCCTGCAATAAATCACATCTTTGAATTACTCTGAATAATAATTTTTCAACGTGTGTAATTTTAAAAGTCAATAAATGAATGATGTTAACCATTATAACCCGTGCTATGAGGCGCTCCTATGTGGAGGCTGCTATAAGCAGTTCATAAAGTTGAAACGCATTCCTAACTACACATGAATAAACTCTTCACAGCTAACTATTGTGATATTACCATCTATTAAGCATATATATGATGCTTAAATGTGTAAATTAGATAGCTTAACATTATCGGTAAGTGACTGTGACCCTGTATAGGCTACAACTGGAAATCAATCAGGGGACAAAGAGGTTCAGTAAATTTACAGATGTCTCACACATTTGAACTTACTGCAGGCACAACACCTTATTTGACACATAACATTTAAAAAAAAAAAAAAACAGTTAAAATTTAACAAGGATGTATCCTGAAATATTTAAATGTCAATTTTTTTTACAATATGTCCTGTGATGTATTAGGGTTAAGGTTAATGTTTCAGCTGTATGGTGGAGGTTTTTTTGTATATGTTAAATGTTGTTGACTAAATTAAGATACAAAAATTATAAGCTCCTTATTCTCATCATACTTTATTTTGGAAATTATTTTACAAAGAACTGTCATAAAATAAAGGAACTAGGATTGAAAAATGTCCCTGCCTTTTAAATTTAATGATGTATTATGTAGGACCATAAACTAAAACTTCTCCAGATCAAATAGGCTACAGGTTTTATTTGAAATGATCAGGTCTTCAATCAGAGATTAGGAAAATATAGCAAATATACTTGGTATATGATTAGAAATGCCAGGAAATTGTTTGAATGTAAAGGAATAGTAAAGTAAAACAGCTTCACAAATCTTAGCCATTTAAAAGACAGAGCCACAAATATTTTACAGGGTATTAACCTCTAAATGACTTAAAATGTTCAATCGATTAATTATTGTTGCAAATCAATCAATGGAAGTGTAGAAGAGTTCGGTATAATATGCAAATGAAAGAAAATTCGGAGTAAACCCGGCATAACTTTAAAACATAGAAAACTTTAGAAAAGTATTTATTTACACACCGGGATGTTTTTCTAATGGCTGAAGGGTTTATTTATTACATAACCTATGACAATCATGCTGAGACGTGTCCAGACTCTAATCTTCCACCTTGGTATATTTGCTGAGATTAATGGATGCACGTTGAAACTATAGCTACACAGCATCTTAAAAGTCAAGACTCAGCTGAATTCTCCCGCTGAAGTTCAAAAACAAGTGCACGTAATGAAACCATATATCTTACAGTCTACGGATGAAGCACACATGGCTGGAAAATATTTGAACCGATAGGAAAGGCTTTACTTACTGAGCTCTGGCAACATCTGCGAGTCTCTGCAGCGAGTACGAGCCTCTCAGCCTGTAGTAAATACCTCTGTACCGCCCAGCTGTTTGTCAATGCCCCGGTGACGAGCGGTTCTAAATCTGAGGTTCGGGGTCCCCCAACAGGACCATGACGCACAATTAAGTAATCCACGTCATCGGGCTTTTTGCTTTTTTTTTTGTCTTCATACAGAAGCGTCACAGTTTGTGTGTTCCAAGGCCATCTACTGTTCACATGTCAGTGTTTCTCTGCAAAGCTGACTCAGATGATTTCAGAATAATGTGCCATTCAAATGTTTTTTTTAATTACAGGGAACCACAAATCTAAAGTCCTCATGAAATGAAACAAACATTTTCCTGGTTTTAATTCAGCGTTTCCGTGTTGAATCATTCATTATCTGCCAAATAGCAATGAAGCATTATCGAATATTATTAATTACATTATATATATATATATATTAATTCTTATTATTATATAATGTTTTACATTAAAATAACTATTTTCTCTTCCTGTAAAACATTTCAAATGTCTGATGACTCATCCTGCACATTTTCGACTAGGCCTAATTAAAAAACTTTGTCCAACTTTTCTGGCATGTTTTACGCTCACTTTCAACAATCCAATCAAACTAATTCCAACGCTATGTCCCGCCTTCTGTCTTGTGATTGTTTCTGTCCCATTTTAGTAGGAAATATGTCACGACAAGGCAGTTAGTTACTCTCGAAGTTCCGTTTCATGGGGACTTTAAATCTTCAGGGATTAATTTGGTGTTTCTGCATAATTGTGCAGTTGAAAATAAACCACATTGATAGATATATGTATATAGATATATACATTATTTTGCTAAATAGATACTGTCACAGCATACCATATCCTATGATTCAGTCTCTATGACATCATAAAGGAAGTGACATCAGACATATTTTCATAGTTGATCTTGGTTTTTCAACCCTGTAGTGAGTAAGTGATAACTGACAGTCTGTTTTGCAGACCTCAGCTAAAAATTGAGTTTTTAGCTGCTGTTAACCAAAAACCTCAAGTCTATAACATCCAAATCTGTCATATATTTTATTTTAATAGGATTGAATTGTGATGACAGAGTTGAATATTTTAAATTACTCAATACAATAATTCAATGAGGACCATGTCAGATATTCTTAATGATATATTATGTTCAATATTTTCAGACTTTACGATGGCTAAAACGACAACAGAGACAACAAGAGTACGGTGTAAGATGGAATGAAGATTCTTAGGGGAGGGGAGAAAAAACATCAGGAGTAAATGGATAGGGGGGCGCTGGTGGCGCAGTGGTTAGTTCGCGCGCCCCATGTATGGAGGCTGTAGTCCTCCGAGCGGGCGGCCCAGGCTCGAATCCAGCCTGTGGCTCCTTTCCCGAATGTCATTCCCCACTCGCTCATTCCCTGATTTCCACCTCTTTCCACTGTCCTATCTCTACATTAAAGGCACAAAAAGCCCAAAAATAAATCTTAAAAAAAAAAAAGAGTTACTGGAGAGGTGGTAAAGATGTGGAGGCAGGAATTTTTTTTTTATCTGAGTGATATAGATAAACGACACAAGAAGTAAAAAAAAAAAAAAAGGCAGCATACAGACTCCCGGCCTCATGTTAAAAATAACTAAGAAAACAATTAGGAAGTGAATGAAGTGTGCTCCAGGATGTCTCACAGCAATCATAGCTGCAGATAACAGCATCTCCTTAACGGTTTTGTTTTTAATATTAAGATGTTCCTGCAATTACACAAGCGACCATGTTCATAAATGACTAATGGTACTCAAAAGCACATTGTAGCTAATAAAGTCCTCAGGAAACGGACCTTCAAGAGTATTTAACTGCTGTGTCGTGACTATTTCCTACTGAAACGGGACAGAACTAATCACACGAAGGTTGGACATAACTTTTGGGATGGATTTGATTAGATGGTTAGCTTCGATAAAGCTTTTTAATTGGTTGAATATTAGTATACGCCCATGAGTGTAGGGTGAGTCATCAGACCTTTGAGGAGTTTTAGGAAGAGAAAATACAGATATTTTGATGTAAAAATACTCAGATAATGCTTTTTTGGAATATATTTTGGAGATTAAATGAACATATAAGACAGGAACGCTGGTTTAAAACCAGGATCGTTTATTCTATGGGGACTTTTAATGTGTATTGCACACATACACAGGGTTTTGTCTACAACCACATGCTTATCTAAACAACATCATAATCAGCTTATCTTTCATTAGAAAACCCTCCATCCATTAACCATATTCACAGAGCATCTAATTTCCACAGATGGCTCCTTCAGGGTGGAAAGCTCAAATGCTGCTAAAAGTCTTAGCGCTTTACATAGCAGCCTCTGCCATCAGTGTGTGAATGGGTAGGAGTGAACTGCGGTGTAGAAGTGCTTTGAGTAGTCAGAAGACTATAAAGCGCTATTCCAGCTCAAATCAATTTACCATTTACATCATGTCATAATACAAACCCCAAGCTAACCATAGTTTAGGATAGCAAGTGGTTGAATGCTAACAGTAGCAGTTTTTTTCCTGTTTCACAATGGTACTTCAAAAGCTATCGCATCTTCTGTTGAAGCTTGAAATATGGAATGCTGTGTCTCCAGATTTACTCTATACATTGTCTTTTTAGATATGAATCAACCACGAAGGCAAAAAAAAAGCTAACGTTTTCTAGATTTGACTACTTTTATATAATTTATAGCACGAAGCAGAGCCTGTAAACTTTGCAGCGTTTGAGCTTCCCGTCCTGATGGCAACATCAGAGAAGAATGGCTACCACGTGAATATTGTGAGCTGAATCCAGGTTAAGAAAAAAGAAAGAAAACAACACAACATACTAACACTGGTGTACTGTTTAATGCAAATTCAGGCTCATGTAACAAAGCTATTAATAGGCGTCATAGCTTCAAATGAAATGAATATATTAATAACGAGATCTGACTTCATCCCTCCTGCCTGGAGCTACATTTGCGAGGCAGAGGAAGAGAGAGCTGTTGAATTCGAGGGGAGGGGCTGGCCGAGCGGGCTGCCCGGCTAACTCTGTACGGGTCATAGCCCTCAAAGAGAGCCTTCCTCTCTTTAGGACTGGAGAGCTCGAGAAGTCTCTGGTCCGCTACATGGCTTCTGGCTGCTCTGGAGACGAGCCAGCACACCGGGCGCTCTCCTCTGAACTTGGGGTGGTCATGTTTAGGGGCTGCAAAGACAAAAGTAATCCTGTCAGATAAAAAATAAAACTTTTAATCAGGAAACATTGCATAATGGAAAGACGGACTTACTAGCAAGTAGCTCTATGTGTGCTGATGCTCTGTAGGGCACATGAGAGTTGGGTTCAGGTTTAGATTTGTGGCCAGAGCCCTCCAGAGCAAGCCTTCTTCTTGGTTGGGCGAGCTGGCAAATCCTCGATGTGGCAACTGCTGTCCGAGTTGCTCTGTTCAACTGCAAACACATTTCAAGTCAAGGACAAGTTTATTAAACACAAGCACTCCAGAGGGAGCACTATATCTCAAGAAGTAATAAATAAGAAGCTGCCATCTTGGTGGTTTGCTAAAGGGCCTCAAAGATGATTATTGCCATCAATGGCGAATCAGTTCGCCTGCCCCACCATTTCGCCTTCCTCCGTTACACTTTGCAGGCGAAACACACATAAAAATATCCCGCCTTGAATTGTGGGTAAGCGACCTATGTCAACCTATTTGTCAAACCTGATAACATTTCCGTATCTGTTAACATGGCTTTACAGTTAAAAGAAGACACCCCAAGGCTGCCAGCTACCTCATGATCTGCTACCTACACAGAAACACAGCAGTTTCTCAAGAAGTGGTGTGAGTTACTCACAGGGGCCAGCAGTGGGCGGTCCAGCTGCCAGCCAGCTGCAGGTGCCCGAGGATGAGCCAGACTACACAACCGATCAGATGCAACAGCCTGGAGAGCCCATTCACTTACCTCCCACGTAGGAGAAAGTCTTTGGAGAGAGAAAAAAACATGAGAAGAGAAGGTAGGGAAGAGACGGGGGGGGGGGGGGGGGGGGGGGCAGGTGAGAGCATGAATGAGAGAAGAGATAAAAGAGAGAAAGGGGTGACTGAGGCAGAGGGGAGAAAAAGTAAATACACACCACAGGAAATAGAAGAAATAAAAAAATGACAATGAAGGAAGGAATAGGGCAGGAAATGAGATAAGAGCTAGAGACATAGAAGGAGAATATAAAAAAGAGCCCAGGAGATGATTTTAGAAGGATATGAAAAGTTCCCTTTGGGGCTATTCAGTCAACAACCTGGGAGCCAATAAGCAAGCTGAACGTATTCCATTTCTCAAGAATCATTTGCAGAGCTGATTTGGGTAAACTATTGTTGCTAGCATGCAGTGGGTGTCTTTCCTGGTTTTGCTTATTAATTCTATGTTTCTTTGTACCACCTGTAGATTAGTGATAGCTTGAAACCGCTGGCAGGAGTGTGACGTTCATCACTTGTGTGGGTAGAACAGGTGGGAGAACAAACAAAACAGGAACAACTCTTTAATTTGTTGGCTCAGTAGCATAGTGTTCAGATATCCAACAACACATCTTTGCTTCAATTATTGACATCTTTAAACTATAACTTTAAAAATATCAGACTTTGTCAGGGATGGAAAACAAATAAGACCTGGAAATGTCTGAAATTCAATATCTGACAGAAGTACCTTACACTGCCATCATGAAATGCAACAGTCTCCTCAGCTCTGGTCAGAATTAAAGGTAAACTATACAAAAGTGCATTACAGAAAATAAATAAAAACTGACGTAAACAACACAAACTATTTGTAACAAATACATGTGTAAAACAGGAACAATAAACCAGGCATTCAGTCCAACACAAAGCATGATGGGAAATGAGGTATGCTTGGACTACAAGAATACATTTATTTAAACAAACAAAAATCTGACATGGCTTCCATCTCCAGAGTAACTGACAATATCAGGGCCTGCCTCTACTATGGCCTTGTCCCAAACAATGTCCTCTGGATCTCTCTGTAACTAATAAAGTAATTTATCATTTATCATTTGAGGATTACATCATCTAAGCCAGGAATTTAAGAAATAGAAAACAGACTCAGAGAACAGGCAAAGAATCAGAGACACCCAAAACAAAACCACACGCGCCACATCGCGTCAGTGACAGAAGATCTTGTTATATTTACGAGACTGGCGTGCGGAACGTTTTACTTCTACACAGATCCGACCAGCGAGGGGTTAATTCTGCAGGAAGACAATTATTCATTTCATGACAAAAAAAAAAAAAAAGTGAGGACCCTATAGGACAGGTTTGTGAACAGACAGAAGAAGTGCAGGGTACCGGTTTTGGTGATGGACCCAGTTTTGTCTGGTGGCAGATGATCCAGCCAGTAAACAGAACGACTGTGAACAAAGAAGGGGTCCTTAGAGAACAAAAAAAAAAACACATTCAGAGAGATGGGGGAGTGAGGCAGATGTTTAGACGGGCGTACCGGTCTGGATATCTCAGCTGGTTGGGTTTGGGTTGAGCCAGCTTCTTCATCCTTGTACACTGTAAAGACAAAAAGTCATAATAACATAACATTTTAAGTTAGTTTTACATCAAGCCTATGGAAATGTTGCGTTAACTCAATATTATACGTTTATGTCACCTCAACTAATTGAAAGTTTCCCAACTTTGAAAAGTAATTCATATTAACTTAAAAATGGCGAGCTCTGTCGAACCCTCCTTGCTCGCAGAGACATGTGTTGTTAGTGCAACAGAGGGCGCAGCTGTTATTTGTGCTTATCTGCACATGGGATGGGATATTGTCACAATGCTTGAGCACTTTTTTAAAATATGTGAAGCGTTGGGACCTCTACTACTTCATATGCGTGCATAGTCAATTAGAGCCCCAGCTCTCTGAGAGGCTCTGAATTAAGGTTTTTCTATGGGAGGGTTTGTGGAACATCCCCTGTCTTCATTGGCATTATAATAAAACCGCAAATGTGTTGTTGCTGGTGATGACGATGGTGGCGATAATAACGATGATGCGAATGATGATGTTGTGGAACATTACTTATTCATTCATTTATTATTATAATGCACAGACTTTTTGAAGGACAGGGGCGAAAAGAAAAAAAAAAAGGGCACATACAGCGCGTTGTACATAACATGGATGTATGAAGGAAATAAATCCCTATGGGGTCTGGGGCTGCTCCCCCAGAACATTTTCAATTAAGTCGATGCCATTTCCTGTATTCTCGTGCATTTTAACACCATTTTAGCACCAGATAATCCAAACTGGTTCTGTGAGATATAGTTCAGGCTCAATATAGATCAAAAAAGGGCCCAACATAAAAGTCATTGCAACAGTAACGTTTCATAGAATTTCTTGGTCCTAATAGTCTTCTGGAGTTTAGTGTGTTTTCTTCACCCAAGAAGGCTCTGTGATAAATACACACAGGGAACAATACACATTTAAAATATTTATTTGACACCTCAAAAGAAACAAACTATGATGAAACTATGATCACAAGTGCTGCTCCATTGCTGCAGGTGGCAGGGATGAATCAAGTCTCAAGTCTTTGAGGTTTAAACCAAGTCAAGTCTCAAATCTTTGACCTCAAGTTTCAAGTCATGTCATACGTTTTTGACCTCAAGTTTTAAGTAAACCAGGAGGGCACTTTAGCACCCGTTTTTGCCACCCAAGAGGGCAGTTTAGTGTGTTTTGCCAACCAGGAGGGCACTTTAGCGCACGGTTTTACCACTGAATGTAATATAATAATGTATAATTATTTTCATTATTTCTCCAAAGCCTTCACCAGAGAGCATATTAAACACACAAGCACACACACGACCCCTTATTCTGTTAAAAAAAAAAAAACAGGCGAGGGCTCCCGATGCCGACCTAAAACTATAAACACATCATAAACACCCATAAAAATAAAGTGTATTAAGAACATCTTAAGAACAGTAGATTGATTCTGTCACTATATTTCAGCCTTGATTTGCTACACTGACTAAAATGTTCTGCTTTAGTCTAATTCTACTCAACAGGTCAAACAATGTTCTTTACCACTGGAGGATATTCTAGTTCAGTCTTTTACATGCAAGTTACACTCATGCTCCCATATACATCACATAATTGTGGCAGCTATGAATATTCTTCAAATTATGAAATACATTTCTTACTTAATTACTCTAAAAAAAGCAGTAATGTTAATGTCCTGTAACATACCTGTGGTTGCTGCAGCTCTCTAACAGTGACACCTACACCTGCTGGTTGTTAGGGGATCAGATGACAGTGGGGAGGGGGGGGGGGGATAACATACTGAAGATTGTCTATTCAGGCAGTGTCAAGATGGCCCAAAATGTTTTCTGTTTTTTTACATGCTGCAGTCAGCTCGGTCCAGTTAAGTCATATCAAACAATAGTTAAAATATATTATATTACATATTATTCTGTCAGGTAAAGTCTGTTTTGTACCGTTTTCTGGAAACTTATCGATGCACTTGTTGAATTAACAGCTTAGATTCAGCAAAAACATGAGCAGAGTGAACACCTTTGTATTTTCCAAAAGGAGACTGATCGAGGAAGCAGAGATAAACACACAGACCATTTAAAAACAGACAACACCTTTATTTTCAACACACACATAAAATCTTATAAAACAGTAAATAACAGTAAATTATCTACCAAAGCTTCTTTAATAATCATGATCACAAAGCCACGAGCTTTCAAGAGAATACTTCAGTTATTACTCTCTACTCTAGTATTGCAGGAGCCTGTGTGAAGCCGACAAGCCGTGTGTGTCTGATGTACTGTCGCTATGTCGTTCAAACTTACTGTGATCTGAAGAGAGAACAATGCAGGGCACGCAGCTACAGCACAGTGGAACATTCACAGGCCTCTGAAGCACACAAGTCCAGGGATAAATATGTAGTGTTTGGTTGACAGTGTAACTAACACTTAAGGGACAGTAAAACTTTTGTTTGCAGTAACAGCACTTTTTTAAAACTGCATTTCCTACTTCCTATGTCTAATTCAAATCCCAACGGCAAATAAGCACATTTTATTTTTTTGGGGTCACTTAAAAAAAAAAAAAAGTGATAAAAGTTCCTAAGTTTATTGGCACAAACCAAAATGAAATATCCCTACACCCTAAAATTGACCTGGCAGTACAGTCTCTCTTTTCAATACTGTAAAAGAAACAAATCTCCCATGCAAAAATCTTAGAAGAGTCTACCGTCTCAAGACACCTCGAGTATGTCGTTGGAAATTTGACCTATTTATACTCGGCTATACATCTTTATCAATCATCGCTGACTTCCAGGAGTAATACAGAGGGGTTTCAGTGATGATACTGGTTCACAGGTGAATATTTATGAGGCACTGAGCTTCATTGTTTAAGCTGCCAGGGTAGTCGCTGGGGTGTTTTGAAAACGGAAGAAGACGGCACTGAAAAGTCCAATCTCTATGAGCTGTGCAGGTAGAATTGCAGAGAAAAGGCATGAAGGAAAGGAAAGGGACAGAAAAAAGGTAAATATTGAGCGGATACTGTACTCAGTAGCACCAGGAGAAGGAGTATGCGAGTGTCTTCGTGTCAGAGGGTCTGCACTATGACAGGATACAGCAGGGACATATGCTCGGCCCCTCTGATTGGCAGCTTGTGTGTGGTGTAGTAGTGGATGACCTCAGGGATGGTGGAGAAGGGCGGACTGTTCTCTCCGAGCACGTAGCGCCCGTCTGCAGACTGAGTAAACTTCATATGCATGAAGCCCTTGCAGCTCCTGTCAGAGAGAGAAAGGACATCTTAAACGGTCCTTCAGAATCAGACAGTTTGGGGACATGAAATAAACAAGTTCAATGGTAGTGTTGTTGCACACTACTGGTTCTGTAGGGGGGGGGGGGGGGGGGGGGGCTGAAGAGAAAATCTCATCTTCAGTCCACTCACTCACTGGCAATACAAAGGAGTCGTGTAAATTGCATCAGATAGTAACTTTGAAGAGCCCTAAGTCAGAGCAAGCTTTTACTACAAGACAAAGAAAATCCTCACAATGTTTTTAACATAGTGTTTGTTGCTTCAGAAGAGTACAGATGTGAGGTTAGGAACATTTCTCAGCATGCAAAAGACCAGCTGCTTTCAAGATGATTATTGATACTGGTGGAAAACACACTTCTAGAGAAACAGGGGGGCAGGGTGTGAAAAAGAGATAACGTGTGAAAATTCAAGTTCAAATCTGAGAAGAAGACACCAACAAACTGTTCAAATATCCAACTGAAGTAAAGAAAAAAAAACTACACAGTCAGTGCAATTCCCCCTTAAGACAGTGAAACGGTGTAACATATTGAGTCTCTGGAGGAGTTGTTTGTATTTCCAAACAACGCTGTTTAAAAGCAGCAACACGGAGCGCCAAATAGCCTAGCGGTTATGTCGCATGTCCTATGTACAGAGTGCTTGTCGCAGTGGCCGTGGGTCAAACCTTGGACCTTTCCTGCATGTCGTCCACCAATCTCTCCACCCAACATTTCCTGTCTTTCTTCCAGCTGTCCAATCCAATAAAAAGACAAAATGCGCCAAAAATCACAAAAAAACATCAAATTGCACAGTGACTGGTAAGCAGGGGTGTATACCTGAGTGACAGCGAGTAGTCCGTCTTGCCGTTCTGGCTGTTTCTCACCAAGTAAGAGTTCTCTTTGCACAGAGTCAGCAGAGCCTCAGCCTCCGGGCGACTCAGGGTGCCATGGTACCACCTGGAGAAGAGCAGCAGGAAACATGACCATGAAACACTTTGACTCAAATCCATGCTGTTGGATAAGAGAACGTTCAATCCTTCTCAGAGTCTTTCATCACCCGTTCTTGAAATGAAGATATACAGTGATAAAACATTAATCATCTCTTCTGTCAACCCTCGCTGAAGACGTTTGTTTGCGAAGAGTCAAAGGGAGTCGATCATCAATTTCAATCTGGATTTTTACAGTTGATTTTCTGACATCGTATTTGTATTGTTGTTTTCGGTGTCTGAACATGATGATTAAATAATAACTTCTATACTTAAGGAAACAGCTCAGTGACTAACACTGTATGTACAGAGTGAATGAAGGTGATGAATGTTACTTGCTAGTTTTTTCAGCTCCGATTTTGAAAGTAAATCTCAGGGAGTCTTAGTAACAACAACTAACTAGGCTCAGGAGACACACAGAACAAGACACAAACAGAGGAAATACAACAACGTGAAGCACTGAGTTCATATCGGCTTTCCCAAAAGATACATTCAACCTGACATTGTGTTTTGGAGAACATATGACAGTAATATCCTTTCTGAGATCAACTGTCAATATGCAAAACAACATTTCAAGTCAAAATGAGGAGGAGATAAATGTTTTTTACGCAGTAAAAACAAGGGAAAATCAAAGTATTCATTCTAATATAGTTATATGCTGACATGTTTCAAGCAGAGATATGCTCCTCTACTTGTGTCTGCTTGACAAGTGACCTCAAAGGTTTTGCAGAAAAAAAGGGAATGCAGTACAGTTCACAGTGTCACTAAAAATTCTTCAAATCATGCTGACAACTATCTTCCTTTATTCGAAAGCTTGATCCAAAGGCAACTGGACTTGGATGAATAGTTGCCTTTGAAGAGATGCCAGTTGCATTTTTACGCATGAAGAAAATTTGCATTGAAGGGAGGTATTCAACAAAGGAGCAAAACATTTTTAAATCTGGAGATATAAGAGTCAGGAGTCAGGAATGTGGAAGTTTAACCTGCAGACGGTCGCTGCAATTCAATCACAAGACAACCATCCAAAACATTGGCAGTGTTAGCAGTGTTTACATTGCAGGTGTCTACTTACACTTGTCTCTCAAGTGGCATGAATGGATCCACCCTCTCTCCCAGGAGAGGAGGAGTGTCACCGACCAGACGCAATGTCGTCGAGTCATTTGAGGAAGATGTAGTGCCCGTCTTGGTGAGCTTGGCCTGTTCTGTCTGAGCTCTCGATCGCTCCCTTTCTGCCCCTTCAAACTGAACTGCAGCCGGACAGAAAGATATCACAGGTTAGTTTACGAATCACAATCGAGACACACTTGGAACTGTACAAAAAGGGATTGAATGTTTACCTGCTAAAGCTTTAGAGATGTTGTCCTTCTTCCACTCCCACGGCTGGTCGTATTCATCAGCCGGTCTCTCATCATCCTGAGGCAGCCTGCTTTCCCTGCCGTCCATCAGTCCACCCTCGACCCTCTGAGTGTGTTGTTGTCCTGCTGGAGCCGATCGGTGATGGTGACGAATCCTCTCCTCGTACGGGTTATCATATAACTGACCCCCATCGCCGCTCCCAGATCTGTTAATCATCACGCTGTGCTGCAGTTCTGCAAAGTAAACACAGAAAGCAGCACTTTAGGGCAGGTTTTTAAAAGTCACAGACAGGCAAACAGTGTGACAATGCTGATCAAGATCTGTTAATAAGACTAAAAAAAAAAATCATCTCATTTAGAGCACTGATGCATTGACAGGTGAACTTTAATCTGTTGAACAGACTGACTGACTTGACAATAAATTCTTTTTACATCCTGTCAGTTCTCCAGCCTCAAATCACACCAAGGGAAACTGTGTTTTGCACAAGGACTGGCTGCTTGACAGCTGATGCTGACTCACATCCTTCCAGGCTTTATTTGAGATGAAAGTGAATGTTTTTGGTTCATTTCCAAAAAGAATTCTGCTAGATGACATTGTGTCACTTAACTACTCATCTATGAAAAACAAAAAAGTAAATCACAGTGAAGTCACATTCACATGATTACTTAGTTACAGCTGCGTTCACACTAGAGGCTAAAGTGACCTGACTCTGATCTTTTTTGCTACCGTGTGACTCAGATCTAATATTTTATTACAGTGTGAACAGCACAAGTCATACCGGTGTGTGTATTTTTTTAATTTTACTTTTATTTAAAAAAAAAAAAGGAGAACCTCGGTGTCAAGAGGGGCAGCAGCACAATAAACAAGTTACAGCAATAACAAACACAGATCAACATGTTCTGAGTCACAGAGAAGAAAAGTCATTATTCAAAGCATCTACAACCTGAATCCCACAGGGGTCTGATACAGGCCACATTTAAAAAGCGATGTGAACAGCCAAACAAAGAAATCTGATCTGAACAAAAAAAATCAGAATTGAGCATTAGGGCTTGCAGTGTGAACACAGCTAATGTTGCTGAGGAATTGAGAAGCCAAATAAGCTCTTATTAAGGGCAATGAGGAAGATCACAAAATGTTAGTGTATACAAACACCATTTATGAAGAATCCATCTGACTACTGGGAGAGAGTGATCTCATAACAAACCGGAGATGATCCGCTGGGCCTCGAATGGTTCCATATAGCTGCAGCAGTCTGTTGGTGCAGATTTGTTGTCCCAGTTTGATCTGCCTCTAGGGTCTGGACGGACATCAAACGGATCAGAGTAGTCGGTGTCAGCGTCCAAAGCTGCAGGAGCAGATGGGACCACCTAGGGTATTGAGAGACGAAATAAAGGGCATTTCACAAATGAGAGACTTGAGCATACAAAACCGAATGTGGGTGAAAACAAAACAAAGGAAAATGGAGCAGAGCAGAAATGAAATCAATTCTTACAGGTTCCTCTTGAACAGTCACAGGACTCAGCGGCACTTTGCAACGACCAAACTCCTGAGAGTCCACTTTGATTAGTCTGTGCTTGGGCGACACCACTTTTACCTGGAAAATATCACATGTAAGCACAACTTTCAATGTCGATCTTTAAAGTCACAGCAAAACTTGAGGACAAGGATATATTGCGTATGGGATGGGGTGGGTCTACTAGAAATGCCAGTCTTTATTATCAAAGGCTACATTTGTATAGTGAGGAACTATTACTGGTAAACAATGTAAAAACACTTCATTTCTATACATGAACCTAAAACATGGCGATCATACCTCCACACCATTAGGCAGCGCTGAGCTGAATGCAGGGAAAGAGGGAAGGCTCACTGTGGCACTACAGGGGCTGAAACCACCATTCTGATGCTCCTTATCAGAGTGCTGGTACGGGTCCTCGAAATCTAGCTCCTTCTGAGCCCTGTAGGCCCTCAAAATCTCACTCTCACTGTAGTCTGGCCTCGGGGGCTGAGGAGGGTCACGCCTGCTGCCTAAGTTCAGGTAGTCCTTAAGCCACTTTGCCATGGATCTGGGGGAAAAGACAAGGAAAAACAGTTAAACGTACATGGGAATCATTAAATCTCATCTTAAATATTCGCTTCACAACTTATTCAACATGAAGTTTGCTTTGAAACCTGTCGAGACTGATGGTTTACACGTCATCACCGATGGAAACAAGCAGGTATAGACACATGAAGAAGAAACTTTCAAAGTGTATTATCAGGGCTGTAAGACACAAACTTGGAGACTACATTCACACAATGTTGAGCTGTCGTTGTTATCTAATTTTACACAGAGAAATCACAGGTACACATTAATGTGACCAGTCAAAGGGTTAAACTGTCTGAGCTCATGTGGACTCTTTTTAACCTTAGCAAAAAAAATGAATTTGTGGTCAATTCCCTGTGAAGTTTACTGCACTGTCAGGAAGACTGTGTCAACAGGTCCTGCAAAAATCCTCCTGTATTGCTACGTAAAAATGTAAGTGGAGCTTAGCATGGGATTTTAGTCAGAACTATCCCGCTTCCGACGTCACGTCAGAAAATCACTGGAACCATAAACAATAGTTGATGTTAGTTAGCATTAGGGGGGGGGGGTAAGATGGCTTTTCAACCCACCAGTTATTCTAAACAAGCCTTTTATTATATTTTTATAACAGCTATCGGCATCCAGTTAACTCATTAAAACACAGTTAAGCGTTGAAGATTTATTCATGGCGTGCTGTGCAAATCACGGTAGCCGCTATGTCAACATTGGCTAAGTTAGCTACGTTAGCTCGTCGTGAAACAGACGGTAAGTCCTAACGTTACTTCTCTTTAACTCACCCTCCTTTCTTTCTTGGCGCTGACGGCTTCCCGGTGGCCCAGTTACGTCTTTATGGCTGCCATCCAGCAACTCGTTTACACCGTTATTATCAGGCCCCTAAAAATAAAAAACCATTGTTATCCGTGAAATCAGTCCAGCCACTGAGCCAAGCAGGTCAAGCAGCGAATGGTAGCCGGACTGGTCCAGACCGTCAGACAGACCGTCTCCGACACAACACCGACTGGCGCGGCGGGCGGCCTTAAAGGGAGGGAGTCACAGAGTGAGCTGTTTTAAGTCTGTCGACGGAAAAGCTTCATATTGTGCTCACAGATGCGATCCTTTGTTTTACCAATTCAAATTTCAGTAATGTAATGTCATTTTTCAGTAATGGCATTGTTTCTACACTGTCAAAAATAGTCCTGTTGATTAATATTATTTTCTAATAGCAGTGTCTTGTTATGGAAAAAGTTCATATGAGTTAAGATATTAATATAGGTGTTTTTAGTTTAAATTAAAACTAAACTAAAATATCAAAGAAGTGTCTGTTAAACATAGCTTTTTATTTTATTGTAACATAATTTTAGTGTACAATTAACAAACTATGCCTTATTCAATAAGGGAGCCAACCAGAGCCGGACAAGAACAAGTTTTGGTTTTTTATGCAAATAAATATGAATTTGTTTTATTTTTCAAAGAGTTGCCAAATGTCAAAAAAAAAAAAGAAGCATATCAGATTAGGACAGTGCAAATGATTAAAGCCGAAGAGATAAATTGTAAGTGGATCTTAAATTGTTGTTTTTTTTTTTTTTTTTTTGGTCATCCGCTGGTCACAAGGTCAAGGATGAACTGTTAAGGCTAACATTATAGTGAAAATAATGTAAAGTTGACAACTAGATCAAATGTTGATACCAATATTATACAAACACCAGTTCATCTGGCAACTCTTGTGTAAATACAATGCTGTATGTAACATTTACTCATTGACCCCAAGCTGTATTAAATCACATTCAAATTTATAGTCCAAACTAATTCTGAATCAGTTAAATCAGCACCATGAACTCAGTGAAACACCTGTATAATAGATCATAGATACAGGAGTTCGGGAAATATTTTTTCTAATGAGAGAGACATGAAGTTAAAAGGATTTTTAATAAACACATCAAATGAACAAATGGTATTTTATCAGGGATAGTTAAAGTCACTGGCTTTCCAGGACAGACAACAAAATCTACTAATGACTGCTCATTATCATATTGACTAATCATTCTGTAAAGACATGTCTTCATAGGAAATACAGAAACTGTTTTTTTTTTTTTTTCCTTTTTTCATTTCTGTGCAGAATTGCAAACAGGTCCATATCAGAATATTCCTCTTTGCATCTTTTGTACAAATTTGTGTCAGTCACAAATTAAGATTCCCTTCAAACATCTTCTTTTCATTCGCTCTCATTGCTGTCGCTGTCTGAATACGCCCCCAGCAGGCTGAGAGATGACGAGCCATTTAGAGTGTTAACAGGCTTGGCGACATTGTTGGATTCAACTGAAGATGTCTTTGAATCTGCAAAACAAAACACACAATAATTGCAAACGTCTGATATAGGATGTGAACTGTGGGGAATGGATCCATCCAAATGTGTCTCTTAGAAGGCTTTCCTCCAAGTCGTATGCATTACCTGTTTGTGATGAGGAAGCGGAGGCAGTCACCACCGTACTGGGTTTACTGACGGCTGCTGCTGGTTTCTTTCGCACTACAAGTGACCCTAGTGCCCCTCCTTTGCCCAGCGTCCCGACACTCCTCTCCCAGCTCTCCACCTTAGCCCTCTTCACTCCTCCAGATGAGGTTCCCTGTTGAAGACACACCATGAGATTGAGTTTTTATCATTTGCATCATTTTAAGGATACTAGATATCAATAAATTAATTATTAATTACATTTTAAGATGTTTTGCTGACATTATAATACTCTATCCAAGACACATTTTGCACCTTACAAATATATATAGGACGTAACCAAATATGAACAAACAAACTTTGAACAATTTAAATAGAGTCTGTTCTGGATCTTCTCACAGAAAGCTCAAAAATACGCTTAAATACCTTTTGATGGCTGTCATTTGAACCCATTCAGTATCATGGAAACGATCGCACTGTGTTCACATGTACCTGTGCCTCTCTGGGGATGTCAGTGGTGAGGACGTCTGTTGGTTTGTCTGTAATGGCTTTCTTTGGCTGCGAGCTGCTGCTGCTGCTGCTGCTCTCCTCCTTCTCTGAGTCAGAGTCAGAGTCTCTGAGTCTTTTCACAAGGGCACGATCCAACATCTCTCTGTGAAACAATTAGATTTGATGGGGATTTTAATGACTGCTGCTCAGAGATCACAACAATAATATAAAAGAACAAACAGGCGGAAATTACATTTTCTATTTAGCTTTACCATTAGTCATCTAGTCTTTAATTGGTTTTAGCAAATACTCTTTACCTCTTCCTTTATTTTACCTAATGATCTTCTATTTGAACATCCTCCACTTACTTTGTCTCTCGTTCATCCTCTTCTTTCTCCTTTTCCTTCTCTCTCTTCTCCAGCTCTCTGTACCGCCCAATCATTCCCTCAAAGTCAACCTGAGCCTGCCTCTGGTTCAGCTCCTTCAGCTCCTGCAGGTTCTCTAAAACTTCCATCTCCATCTTGGAATCCTTTGTGCGGTTTTCCAGCACCTGGTGGAGGAATGCATAGAAATTGACTATTTTTTCATCTTCGAAATGTAAATCTTAAATATGAAATGACGTTAAAAAAACAACACCAACCTTCATTGGGTTGTTGAGTTCCTCTTCCTCCCTCTCCTCTTGGATTCTCTTCTCCTCCTCCTCAATGAGTTTCTCTGCCTGGAAGTTTCTTGTTGCACCATGCTCCATAGCGTAGTCTGTGTTCTCCGGGTCAGTCTGTGGTCACAGCATGAGATATGAGTCCAAGACAAAGAGCTGTGGATGTACTTTTTTAAATTTAACTGTTATATTATCCTGTCGTAAAAAAAAAAAAAAGGTTATTTATCATTCAAACATGTGTCCCTGTGATAATCAGAGCTTCAAATCGTCTCACCTTGAATGTGATTTCAGCCAGACACCGAGTACATTTGATGTAGAAACGGAAGATGGGGAGTCCCATGTACAGCTCATTCTGAACAGTCTCTTTGCGGGCATTGAACTTCTTCCCCTTGTAGATGTACTCTCCACATGTTTTACATCTGCAAACAATCAGAGAGTCAAAACTGAGGACTCTATAGCAACAGGCCCCATGAATAAAAGCCATTCAGACACGTAAAAGCAGCCCTGGTCTAGTTGTTAGTAAAAACATAAATCTAAAGAACTCTAGACTTCTTATGAAACAATAAAAAGTAAAGGTCAGTTATAAACGGACACAATACATTATAAATATACATTATAAATTTATCAAAAGAACAATAGTTACTTCTTTGTTTTAAGAAGGCCAACATATCTCAGCATGGAAGTGCAACAAAAACAAAGACATGTCAACACCAGCATAAATCGCTGGTGCAGACCAAGTCCGGAAATTGGTCTGGTAGCTGGAGAGGTGCCAGTTCCATCCTGAGCACTGTAAAGATGCTCTTAAGCAAAGCAACTAACCTCCCACCCTCTCAGGAGCGCTAGATGTTGGCAGCCCCCCCGACATCTCTCCATTAAATGCACATCCATAGGATCCTGCCTGTGTCTCACAGTCTATGGTTTGTGCATGTGTCCCAGCCCTTTTTACAATTTTTATTAATAAAATGATTCCATTATTATCTAGCGACCATTCACATGCTCACTTATATGCAGATGATACAATATTGTTCTGTATTGCTAACTCTGCTCAGCTTTCCATGGAGAACCTGCAACATTCCTTTAATGTTCTCCAAGTTGCACTTAACGACATTAAATTGGTTTTAAATGTTCAGAAAACTAAACGTATGTTGTTTTCTAGGGCTAAATGTGAAACTGATAATAATCTTCACATTACCACCCTGCTAGGATCCATTATCGAGAGAGTTAAAGCCTATAAATATCTTGGTATATGGATAGATGACAGACTAACATTCAAACTTCACATTGATAATCTTACTGTCAAACTACGACAAAAGGTTGGTTACCTATATAGAAATAAATCAAATTTCCCCATGTTCTGTCGGAAAAGGATAATTGAAGCAGTTTTTCTTTCATTTTTGGATTATGGTTATGTGGTCTATAGGCATGCCTCTTCCGCTACGCTAAAGCCCTTAGATGCTGTTTACCATTCTGCGCTTAGATTCATCACCGGTGATAGCTACATGACTCACCACTGCATTCTTCATAATAAAGTTGGTTGGCCCTCCCTCACTGAGAGATGCAATAACCACTGGCATGTTTTTATCTATAAAGCCCTCACTGGAAAGCTTCCATCATATATCACCTCCTTGTTACATCTGAACCCTGGTCCATTTATAACCCGCCGCTCGAGAGAAAGAGAGGCTGGTTCTCCAGGTTCCTCATGCCAGGACTGACCTGGGGAAAACTGCTTTTTAGTGTTAGTGCTGCAAACTTCTGGAATATTTTACAACAGGACCTGAATTTGAGCACTTTTATCCCTTATGGACACTTTAGAAATATTATTTTTAACCGCCCAATACCTGACTGTAACTGTTTCATTTGATTTTAATTACTGACTTATCACTGTAGTAATTTCAAGCTTTTAAATTATTTTAGTGTATATATATTTTATTGTTCTTATTGCTCTTTTATTGATTTTATTTTCTGCAGTAGCTTTATCTCATTTCTCGTTGTTTATCATTTATGTATGTTTTCTCGGCATCATTGTAAATGAGGGTCGACCTCAATGACCTCTCCGAGAACTTAAATAAAGGTTGATGATGATGATGATGATGATGTGTGTGGAGCATGTCTCACAGAGTGTCAAATTAAATTCCCTCTCGCGGGATCGATAAAGTGTATTTATAAATATGGTTATAGAGCAGGGACGAGCAACTTTGGTCACAGCAAGGGCCACATTCATTTAATTCTCACTGCCAGGGGGCCAAATTGTAGTACACAAAAACGACTACTGTCAATTTTGTCTCCAATTTAACTCAACATATGCCAGTGATCAAATATTATTATGGACATACTTCTGGTTTTCATGATTTCAGCTCAAATTTTTGTCATGTTTTCAATTAATTGATGTAAAAGTTGATCTGAGGGCCACGTTGAGGGTTGACTGGGGCCGCATGTGGCCCCCGGACCGCCAGTTGCCCACCCCTGTTATAGAGAATACGTTTTTTGCATGTAAAATTTGTTCCAATGATCATTTTCAAGAAAATGCAAACTGGATATAAGAGGAAGTGGATGGTAAAGAGTGAGCACCTGAGCGTGGGTTTGACCCACAGGTGAAACAGACATACCTCATATTGAAGGGAGCCATCAATCTGACCACATACTGACGATCTTTGGGGAGTTTAAGCTTCGGGATTTTAGATGGATCGAAATCTGGTGGGTAGTATTTCTGTTTGGAGACAAAACACAGATGTGTTAATGAAAAACCTGCATTTGTAATGAAGTTATTAAAGCATCTAGAATAATAGGGGAACAGAAGTTTGAAAGCTGGAGACATAAATAAGACACTTTTAGGATGCCTAAATGGGAATTCGCAAAAACTTAATTAAAAATATTAGTCTCAAAATGAATGTTATAGTTGCTAAAAACACTTAGCTTGAAGGTAATGTTAACCTCCTTGGTTTCAAACGCTCATTTTTAATATTGCTGACAAAGCTCGTAGTTGGCGTAAAGATACTCACATTCAACACTTTTCTTTCAGACATTGTTGCTTTCGCTAGAAACTAAGCGTAAGGAGAGAAACGTCGGAATTAATAGATTTAGAGCTGGCACCGATGCACTTTTTAGGTCGCTGCTTGTAGGCCTTTATTGCACTTCCGGGGGTGTATTGTAATCACTTCCCGTGCCTCGCAGAGCTTCATAGAGTGATGACGCCCCCCTGCGGCAAGAGGACGTACAGTCGAATAAAAACCACGCAAATTAGATTAACAGAGTAGAGTCAGCTACACGAAAAGGGAAATTAAAAAAAAGATTTTTGAAGATATATATCATCTTTCATTTTTCTTTCAAAAGGTTACAAATAATCCCTCCATTCCCCCTCAAACCCCCCACACAGGACTACCTCACTGGACTGTAAAATACAATTTAACATACATCACAAACGTGCAATATATTTATCTGTGTAGTCATTTTACTAATAGCTTTTCTTTTTATATCTATTTATATCTGCACCTTGTTTTTTCTGCGCGAATACTTGCTCTGTTTTTATCCTGCACTAACGAGTCAAATGCAACGGAATATCTGCTCTGTAAAGTACAAGTTTGAATGACAATAAAGGAAGTCTGAGTCTAAAGGTAATATTGCTTTACAGTAATCAAGTCATTCATCTTTAAACAAATAGCCAAATCTTTTTGAATCACATCAAATTAAATATAAAGATACAATTCCCTTGAAAATAAAAGTATAGTATTTAATCAATGTTATTCATATTGGTTTTACAATAACAACTATAGAAGTAAAACAAATGTGTCCATTTTATGCAACTTTTCTCACATTGAACGTATTGCTTCATCCTTTACACACACACACACACACACACACACACACACACACACACACACACACACACACACACACACACACACACACACACACACACACACACACAGGCAGGTTTAGGTCACTCCTACAAAAGGAAATTGGGTCCTGATTACAGATTGGTGTTAATGTGGGTCAACCTGAGGTCTGATTTCACTTTTATTGAACATGACAGTGAGGAGAATAGATTCGTGGCAACATAAAGAAGGGGACACGGTTTTGTGTTCACAAAATATCTGTCAACAACAGTTAATACAAATAAAAGATATATGTGTAAGACAAATCACAACAGTTGAATGCCATGTCCGTTGTATTTGTTCTTGCGATGATCTATTCTGTGGGGAGCCAGAATCAAATCAAAGCGACTCATCAATAAGTCAGACATGCAGCATAAAATGCTATCATTGACGAAAGTGACTTTTCAACCCCATCAGCACCAGTTTACTTTATCAAATATGTTTTATGGAAGGTAAATCCACCTTTAACCCCTCCGTGATTTCCCCCTGCAGGTCCCTTCCTGTGGTTATCTAAAGATACAAAGGTGCTGATCAGTGTCACCTGTGTCACAATGTTCCATCAATATTTCAGAGGTTTGCTGATGTCAGCAAAGCGTATAAAGAGGGGGGCATCTTAGAACCGGAGACCTCCATACGTCCAGGGCGTTTTGACTGACTCCCCCCCCCTTCCACCTAAAGATAAAGACGCCTCCTGTTTGTGTTTCAGCACCATGGTCAGCGCTCGTGCTCTCCTCCTCGCGGCCACCTGCTGCTGCACCTTTCTGTGGTTAGCTCGTGCAGAGGACTCCTCTCTGGAGACGCGATCGTTGGATTTCTCCCTGAAGACTCAGCAGGAGAGAGACCTGGTGAGAGAATTTATGAAGGAAATTGTACAATATTTTACATGTTCTGGAGAGAAGCTTGCGATATGATCTATTACAAACGATTACGCACAGGAAGTAAGGAGCTGAAATGTTCAGCTTAGAAATTAAGTGAAATGAGTTTTTCAATGTCAAGTCAAGCTCTAATGATTCTAATTTATCTGATTTGAACTCTTTTCAATGCAGATTGACGCCTTGCAAGAAGTTTTGGAGAAGCTGAGGAGCAAAGAGATGCCTTTAGAGAAAAAGCTTGGCTGGCTGCCTTCGGTATGTACATCACATTTGAAATCTTGGGTCTAACTCACCAATTTAGTAGGTAGGTCTATGTTTTATAGTGTTTCGGATGGACTATGTGTAAATAAGCTGAGGTAAAAGCGGTTTAAGAGGTTATTTGTCGTCTTAGAGCGTGCAGAAATTCAAAATACTCGAGGCATACGTGTAAAATTCATTGTTTTAAAGGGTTAAAGTTTTTTTTTTTGCAAGAATATAATTGTTGTCAATCATTGCAGTGTGACGCTGGGGAGCCGTGTGCCGTGCGTAAAGGCGCGCGTATTGGAACGCTGTGCAGCTGTCCTCGGGGTACTGCCTGTAATTTCTATGTTCTCAAATGTTTGTGAAAGAAGAAGACCAAGGCAAAGGGCGCAAGAAAACACAGCAGAGGAATGATGGGATTGAAGGGACGAGTCTGTTGTTAGTCCCGGAACGATACGAATAAAATGTGATTTTTCTGTTATAAACCTGGGACTGGACGTCAAATGTCACAATGTTAGTTTTTAATTGATGTCATGGCATGTGTACATCCGTCTCAACTTTGATTTTTTTAATGCGTGTAACAGATCTTAGGTGAAGTTATTTTGTGAAGAGTTATGGCATCTTGTTTGAATGCTTGAATGTAATTTTTGTCAGGACCTCGTTCTCTTTTTTTCATTTCATCTGCTGCACTTGTTCCTGTTCTGTGGAAAATTGTGGACAATTTGTTTCTAAAGACATTTGTATGATGAGGGGGGTCAATAAATTTGCTCAACTTTATTTAAGCGTCTTTGTGTCATTTAAAGGGGCAGTTGCATTAAAACAAAAATACCCCCACCTCGCCCATTAGCAGCTTTTGATTGATTGTGATTTATTGTAGAAACAAATTGTAGCTCATTTGTGTTGGTCTACTTGTAGTACCTTATCACAGCACACAATATTACACAGGCCTACTTTCACTTTGGCGTTACTTACATCTTCAGTGCAGGACTTGAAGTCACAGTATTTATACGGTATTAGTAGGCTGCTTCTAAGTGAAGAACCTGTTTACTTCTCCGACCGATGGACACCAACAAGAGAAGTGAATTGATTCCTTTTGCCACGTGCCATCAATAATTCAGCCTCTTCCTACACATCCGCTAATGTGCGGCTGCATTCCTGCACAGCAGCTGTCACCGCTGCGCAATAAGAAAGAGGCGCTACTGTCAGCCTTTTTTTTCAATGACATCACAGCCGAGTGCGAGTTTTCCAACATGGCGTCCAGCCGGGTGCTGGAGAGGGAGGTCCAGGAGGGGCCGAGGCGCGCTGCCACCGCAAACATCGACTTCTGCCTCCACAAATACTCCCTGCTCATCATCATCGGACGGACCGCTCCCCCTGGACACACGGGTCACATCAGTGAGGCAATAGAGCGAGGTACGTGCATTTCAACCCACCATTTACAGCTGCTGAACATCGCGTTGGTTTCTTTCACAGTCGAATAAAAATGCAGGTTCTACAAGTTCTCGTCGATTAAACATTTACTGAGGGTGCTACATTGCAGTGTTGGTGCAATTTTATCCACCCTACAGGGCTGAGGATGCGTCATCTGCCCATACTCCATCATCAGCACCACCTCGTCCCTGAAGGCGCATTATAATTAAAAGCAGTCTGAGGCTGGTGGACTGTCTTTGAATCAGTGAATCGTTATGTAAGGAGACGCTTTTGGGGAATGTTGCAGGGCGGTTATTAAGCCAACAGATAGACACTTGTAAACGGTGTGCCATTTACCTTTATGTGTTGTTGAACAGCAGTTAATGCGGATGCTGTAGACATGCAAGAATAACCCTTTACAAACTATGCTCGACTGTACGCCATGGGTAAATAATTTGGGTAAAAATACACTGAAATAACGTGAACATAGAACAATAAAGGCCAAGAGAGAGTCAGATGTTTTCAATCGGTCACAATTTTAACACTGTGTGCTCAAAATATCTAAAATCTCATCTTTTCATGTGCTGAATGAAGTATGTGTCATTTGTTGTGATGGTTTATTCACTTCAGGATGTCTGAGATGTTATCACATATGACTTTTCATTTCTGCAACATGTTTACCTATATGTTATGTCATCTCAAGGGTCCCTTAATTGCACTCGCACTCTTACTGTGTTATCAGAAGTGCAACATGTCATGTAATAGTGTACAAAAACGTGCACATACTTGTGCTTGTGTTATACTCATGAATTTAATTTGCACATTGAAAACATTGAGTTATGTGTGGCAAAGTAAAACCGACCGCTGCCTCATGGGACCTTTTTACTTTGACCTCTAGGTATCCGGTCCTGGGATGTCGATTTACAATCGTGTAATCTGAACCTCTTTCTCCGAGAGTTTCTGTCCCATCATACGGCGTCTTTCAAGGGTGCAGGTAAGTGCGAGTGTGACTCCCTGCTCAAACTCCACAGACAACCCTGTACCTCTTGTTACTTGCAGTTCAATCGGTCAGGGGTCAATGAGGAAGGAAGGAAGGAAGGAAAGTGGTGGAGCAGTTGGGCGATTGTTAGACATGGGTGGGCCCAGTGGACAGAAAACAATGGAGACCTTTAACGAAGCGGTGCCACCTCCCTTTCTGTTCTCGTTGCTGCTTTTTAGTATGCAGGGCCGAGGGCAACTGGGGAAAATGCTGACAAACATCAGTCAGACAGTTGTAATACTGCTTATCCCTAAAGTGTGGTGTGATGAACAGGGACAAGAAAAGACATCTCTTTTTACAAGGATAAAATAGAAGCCAGGGAGCGTCTATGTGGCAGACACTTCCATAGGGAAGTCTCGTTTAATAAGAGTTAGGGTTAACATGCTATTGTCGGGAATTTGTAAAATAATGTATCTTGTTCCACAGCTGAATGTATTGTGGAACAAGGTTAATAACTTGTTGGGCAATGACAGATACAAATCTTGTGTGAAGATAGAAACTTGTTCCAAGGGGAAGCAGGATGGCCTCATGGTGAGGTCACCTGCTCCATGGACAGAGGCTATAGTCGATGTGCAGCAGCCGTGGGTTCAAATCCGGCTTTGGTCCTGTGCTGCATGTCAACCCCCTCTCGCTCCTCACAACACGTCCTGTTTCTCTTCAGCTGTCCTATACAATAACTGCAATTTAGTTAAAAGAAAGTATTTTGCCTGCATGATAACTTATTTGCACAGGATAACTTGTTACCACAAAATATCTATCTGTAACTTTTTGATCTCGCAAGATCATTTTCTCTGATTATCTTGTGCATTGAAGATATAATCCCTTTGGGAAAAGATCACAACCTGTTTGTGCACGATAATTCTCATCATTATTTTGTGCAATCAAGACAACAATCTTGTGGGACAAGAACTTTTTTTGTGTGTGAATTAGATTGTTACCTCATTCTTTTACAATAACTGAATAGTTTCAACAAAATGGATCACTCTCTTGTGAAAACAGGACGATGAGTTGTTTAAATGACCCTGTGTGAAGATATAATAACTTGTTTGATTAAAATAATTAGCCTCAGTGCACAAGGTAAAAAGTATCACCTGATAGGACATTTGGGGCTTCCTCTGTGTCGAAGTTTAGCAAGAACAAAACAAAAGGAAATAACTCTGTTTTTTTTTTTTTGGTCTCCCCCTTAAATGGGAACAAAATGGCTCATGAAGAGCTAGCAGAGACACATTTTGTAATCTTCTGTGTCTTGTATCTTTCAGTTTATGTTTATTTTAAGACAAACCTTTTTACATGATTTTGTCATTACTTTCCGTTTGGCCTTTGTTAGCCTCTGTATCATCAAACGTTGATCTAGCTCCCCTTAGACTGGATTTGCGCTGCTGATTGAGTTAACTTGGCATCTCGTCCTCACACGGTCCCTCTGACTCAGCTGTTCCATTCTTCTTCCTTCCTCTGTTTCTCTGAGGGAATCAATCACACGCCTGGTTGTCCCAGTTCATTCTGACTTCTTTGTGTTTACCTCCCATTAGTCTCAGCTCAGATCCGTCAGCTTGTTTCTCCCTCCCTCAGCTCTGACTTTACCCGAGTTCTTGTTTACTTCCCTTGCCTGTCAGTCTTACTTTTTCTACTCTCTGTTTTTCTCTTTGCACCCTTAGGGCAGAAGTGCCTCCGCCACAGTACCAGAGTGTTGGACACTCAGGTGCTGATCAGTCCAACTCAAGACCAGGTTCACCCAGAGGTGAGTGGAGAAACTCAGGTTTATTCTCCAAATTCTTGAAAGATATTCGACCAAATCAAATTTGTTAACCTGTAGCAACTAAATGATGGGTATATGTGCATAAAACATGACTTGAATGTGAGTTATGAATCATCATAATGCTCCTCAGTTCATTTTTTTTTTTGCTGAATAAGCACAAAAGCCTCTTAGGTTTTGAATTATGCAACGTGGTAATCTATGTTTTTTGCGTGCCTCCTCTTTTCTTTTCCTTTTGATGCTGTTCTTTCCCTTTCCATTATCCGAGAACAAAGTGACATTGCAAAATAAAAGCTCTTTTTCTTTTTGTGACCATGGCCAGGTGTCGGCTCTGCTGTCCAGGGATTCTGCACACAAGCTGCTGATCTTGGCTGGCCAGAGTGTGGAGGAGAGTGGAGAGCTGCTGTTTCATAGAGGGCTGTTTTCACCACAACTGCTGAAACAGATACTAACCGAGCAGGTACGACGTTGTCTCTCTGGGACCTTTACTTTTTTGTTTTTGACAAATTAAGCTCTGGAGCCTCACATTTAAGAAGCTAAAACCAAAGGAATGTTGGGAGTGAAAAATAGCTCAAAACAGTCAAACCATTATCAATGCTATGATCGATTTCTTTTGTGCCAATGGAATAACTGAAGAGACATTTTTCTGACTTAAATCATTTTCTGTGTAACTCAGAAAGTAAATTTCACCATTTCCTTGGATGTAAATAAGCAATGTATTCTTTAGATGATACCTTAACGTTAACAAAGTTTGCTTGGGATACATTTCTCACCTTCATATTAACAGCATTTCACAGCTGAAGGTATAACAGGAAGGTATAACAGTCTTGTTCTCTAAGACATGTTTTTCTTTAAGCGTTTCAAAACAGAGCAGTTTTCCTTCTCTCATTATGCTGTGTTGAGCCCCTTTACTGTCCGGGTCTTTAAATCTAATATCAGATTTATCTGAATCATATGCACACCACTTGAGCTTTGCAATATCTCCCTCTAGTTGATGTTTTCTTATGAGCTTTCTTTAAAAGTCTGTTTCACCCATGGGTTATCAAAATCATTTATGTAACAGATTGCCTGTGTGGGGATGGAAGCTCTCTTGTTTTTCTATTGAGCTTTTATATGATAGGTTGCACCAGATAATCACAGCTCTCCTGTTTGTGAGAGAAAGCGGACCGCAACTCACCTTTCTTAAGCTTACTGCAAAATGTTGAGATTGCCTTACATCTTATACCTTGCCATATACAGTATACCTATATAGGCTCTTAAGTCATTTAATTACATTGGTTATGGTTCATATTCAGATGAAATTTTATGTATCTATTCCTTTTTCTTACTAAACTCATAAAAATGATCTCTTGTTTTTTATTAAGTGTGCATGGACCAAACTTGCACTTACTCTCTTTTTACTGCCGTCTTTCTTTTTGTGCAGGGATTTCTTATTTGCTTGTGTTTATGCCTTCACAATTCATCTGTGATAAGATAATATTGGATGAGAGTGTTGAAAAAACTTGACAGTGCTTGAAAAACAAAGTATGTCCTGTAACGACAGGATCATGTTCTGTCTTTAGTTTATAGCTCAAGAGGTTCCTGCCACCTCCTCCAAACTCCGTCTGACCCTCAGCTGTCCCAACATCGGCCACTGGAGGAAGACTCTGTTGGAAAACCAGCTTCTGCAGGGTCCGTTCACACTGCACATCAATCCCCCAGAGGTGCTGCCTGCCATGGAGGCGCTGGGGGAATTCACCTCCCTCATCTCTGGTACCGTCTCTCCTCCATCTCCCTTCGACCTCCTGCCTCCTCCCATCACTGTGGGTTTTCTCAAGCTGTCTCGCCCTTGCTGCTATGTTTTCCCTGCCGGCCGCGGTGACTGCGCCTTCTTTGCTGTGAACGGCTTCACGGTGTTGATGGACGGCGGCTCGGACTCCCAGGCCTGCTTCTGGAAGCTGGTACGCCACCTCGACAGAGTTGATGCAGTCTTGTTGACGCACATCGGGACGGAGAATCTCCCGGGAGTCAACACCTTCCTGGAGAGAAAGGTGGCTGAGCTGGAGATGAGCTGTGATGTCAAAGGTAAAAGTAAAGTCACTTATGATCATATAGCCTTAATTTACAGACACTAAAAAATCTGTACATCACATATCAACCTCTACATTTAGACCCTGGTCTAGTTTATGTTAGTTTAGTTAAGATAGTTAAAACTTCCCAAAAAAAACATGTTACAGTGGGAAAAACAGGTTGGGGATCCCTCTTTTGTAAAAGAACGATGGTGATGGTGTTGATATTCATGCAAAAAAGAAAATGTAATTTTTGAATGTGCAGAGACATTCTCTGTAGTCCTCTTAGACTGTTTCATGTTCAAACATCCTTTTTATTTGCTGCTCTGTGTCTTCATGTTGTCTGAACAGATGACTCGTCGAAGAAGCTCATCTCCCCAGAGCTGGGAGTTGTATTCTTTAACGCCCCCAGCAGGTTGCAGGTGGAGGAACAGCCTTGTGAGTGATGTTTTAAAACGTACTGTCTGTTGTTGTCCCTCTTGCTTATCAGATCTGTGTCCATTAGCATAAACATTTGCATTGCAAAACTTATGATAGATGAATTAGTTACCTGTCCAGTGTTGGCCTTTTCAAGATTAAAAGGTAGACTATTCTTTCTTTTAAACCACAATGTGGGTTTTGAACTGCATATATCTATGAACCTTAACAAACTAGTTGTACGTATTTGCTTCCTTAAGTTTCTAAAAGAAATTATGAGAAGTCTTTTTCCTTGTTCTTCCAAGCTAATCTAAGGCTCTTTTTTATTTAACAATTTAAGTCAGCTAACATGAAGACGGTCTTACATGCGATTTTTTTAATGCAAGATATTTTTTTAAATATGAGTTTGAACTTGGCAACTAAAGTAAGAGGGATTCTTTTCCATTGGCTACAGTTTGCACACTACCAGGGATATCTGTCTGTCAGCACTTTTTTCTAAACATCACATACCCAGCAACTGCAGAAATCATTATAATAATGATAAAAAGCCCTTTATTTTTTTTAGCACCTCTTCACATATACTAACAAAATGCTTCACAACAGCAAACTAATAATAGTCTTATTCTGTGAAGAGATAAAAATACAGTACAGGGAACATTTACTTAGGAACAAAACAAACTAAACTTGCAGCCAATGTTTCAGATACATTAAAAACAGGACAGCGTGACAGAAAGTGTGTTTTAGTGTTTGTCGATATATATATTTTGATGTTTACATAATCAAAGAGTACCATTAAAGAGTCATACACAGTTCTGGATTAGTAAAAGGCCATCTAAAAAAATGCATTTTAAAAAGAGATTTAAAAAAGGGACTAAAAGGAAAAGGGGAGTAAGGGGCAAAGGGAATTCATAAAATAAGAAGAAAAAAGAAAGAAGGAATCTGGACTGCAACTCTTTTATACCCTGGAGTTTGGTGGTCCTCAAATTCATACGCATTAATAGGTGGATATTTTTGACACAACAAGACAGTGAGAGATAAAATCCACAAGTAATCAGCTCAGTTTCTGATGTGACTGATTCCTATGAAGTCAAGTTATGCTTTTTTCTCATGCCAGGTGTTGACAATGTACTGAGGAGCACACACCAGGCAGCCCTCACCCTACAGTTGTTGAAGAAGTTAGACATCAGACCGCATCCTCTGATCCGACCACAAGGGGTCCCCATTGAGCCACTCACACTGTTTCAAAAAATGGGAGTGGGACAGTTGGACTTATATATCCTCAACCCAGGCAAAAACAGTGAGGAGTACCAGACATTCATGCAAAACTGGCCTGCTGCAGTGTCATCAGCATCCAAATCCCAAACTCTCCCTCTCCCCGCCCTGGCCTCAGTGTCTGCCCTGCTTGTGTGGCACCCAGCGTGTACACAGGAGAAGGTGGTCAGGGTGCTGTTCCCTGGTATTACCCCGCAGGCGAAGCTACTGCAGGGGCTAGAGAAGCTGAAGGGGCTGTCATTCCTCCAGAAACCCACTGTGACCACCGGGGATCTGGAGAGGCTGGGAGAGGAAAGACAGACCAAGAGGACTGAGAGCCAGGACAGTGGGAGGTCACAAGGGAAGGAGTCGACACCCAAACAAGGAAAGGATCGGGGAGGGAAAGAAGAGGGAAAGGAGGTATTTGTACGGGAAAAAGGCAAAGTATTTAATGGACTTGCAACAAGAGACGCTGACAAAAGCAGAATCAAAGAGGCCGGTGCGAAGCAAAGAGCAGCAGCATCAGAGAAGAATAGTTCAAAAAGGGTGGAGGGAGGGATGGAAAAAAAGAGGAGAAGGCCGGCAATAAAGAAGAGAACAGTGTTGTTAGGAATGATCACGGGAAAAAGGATCTTGTCACTCCTAAACCAAAGACTGAAAATAAAACTAAACTTAAAAAGGAAGCAAAGAATGACTCTAAAACGGGGGCAAAGAAAACAAAAAAAACACCAGGAAAGGATACAAACAATGGCAAGAAGGCACATGCAGACACTGAACTGTCAAAAAACAACTTAACAAAACCCAATGCTAGGACTGTGTCAGAAACCCCGGAGCCAGATGCAGAGCAGCAGCATCAAAAACACGAGAAAGAGCCTGAAGAGAACCCTTGTGGCTCCAAATTGTCTTCCCCTGAGGATATGACAGCTGCTTTCCTCCAGCTCCGGGCGGAAAGTGAAAGGGAAGACGCAGAGGAAGGAAATAAAAAAATCAGCGAGTCAGGTAATGGAAGGATCGCTGGAGGTTTGAAGAAAGAGGTAGTTAATGAAGCTGCTGATACACGAGGGGAAGAAGCAGCAGGTTGTACAGGGCTGATGGGAGGGGAGAGTGTTGATAATGGAGCACAAGAAAAGCGTTGCACTGGAGAGAAAGCTGAGCAAGACCAGTCTGGAAACTCGTCTAAGCCAGCAAAGGTTTTAGGATTTCCCTCTCCCTTGAACAAAGCACCAATGACAGAACAAACAGTCCAGCAAGATATAACCCCAACCGAATACACTCTCCTGGATGGGGCTTTGAGGAGCAGCCCTCCCTCCCGTTCGTCTCCAGAGAACAAGGCAGCTAACAGCCCTGATGAGGAGACCGTAGAGCAAGCCTCCCCTGATTCACGGCCCAACAGTGCAGGCCACACTCCCTACTGTCTGTCCCCGGCTGATGTGTGGTGCAACAGGGCCACTCTCAGCCGGTTACAGGCCCAGGGGGACTTAGACGCAGCTGATGTCAACCAGCCAAATGGATCATCCAAGCATTGTGAGGAGCAGCCTAAAACGGTCACAGAGAGCAACTCAAACCCCAGAGAGAAGCACCTGAGCTTCCTTTCTTTGGGTTCATTTAAAGACGGATCCTCAGACCCCTCTCCCTCTTTCACTACCACAACCACCACACACTCCATGCCCGCAGAGGTGAGCTCACCTCAGTCCACAGAAGTCGACGAATCACTGTCAATGTCCCTGGAGCAGGGACCAATCTATGTGAGCCAGAGAGACGGGGATGACAGTGTTCAGCACTCCAACTCCAATAGCAGCCATTGCGCAGGGATGTCTCTTCCAACTAAAAAGGCTCCAAGGTCTTTAGGGCAGGGTTCAGATATGGGACGCCCTCCAGCTCCGAACACGCTTCATTTTGACGCGTCAGCTCACGATGTGGATCTGTGTCTGGTTTCCCCCTGCGAGTTCAAGCATTTCAAAGCACCCGACTCCAGCTCAGGTGGGAGTGAGCCCTTCAGAGGAGCCTTTCATCACAGCCACAATAACAACAACCCAAAGGAAGCATCCCCCAGCGAGTCAAACGCCCCTGTCATCACCGAGGACTGTCCGTCCACCACAGCAGATGGCGCTCTGGACTCAGATGAGGACGAGTCTTGCAGTGAGCCGTCTAACTCCCCACACGACCTCCGCACAAGTCGGGCTCTGCCTCAGGACCCGCCTCCAGCCCCTCTAAGGGATAGTCCCCCCCTACCGCCACACCCTGACGCCTCCATGCCCGTTCCTCAGTCTGACTCTGATGCTAACGGGAAGAGGGCAAAGGGGGCCGGCATGCGAGGGAAAAAAACGCCAGCGGTGAGTTCATCTTGTGACCATAGAAGTTAAGTCTGTCTGTGAAATCCTGTGCAGACGTTCATGAAGTCTTGTGCCAAACATTTTGGTGAATTTTGTTTTTATGGCTGTGAATGTGAAGTGGTGTGTCCCCTTTAAGTTTTTACTTTTGGTCACAGTTGGAAAATGTTTCATCTAAAGACTATAATGATAAAAAGCATCCTGCGCAACATCAGTAACTTTCACTCAGGGGACCAGTCAGGGTTGATCAGGCCATGGCTTGTGTCACAGCAGCGTTGGCCCATGGCTCAGATCTCCTGATCTAAAGCCACCTAGATCCCCTCTCTGCAGTCTCACCTGTGGCAGGTCCTTTACCAAGGGCTTTTGGGCAGCTTATTTGGATATCCTCAATTGAACTCTCAATTCATTGAAATATTTCTGTGTGACACATCACAGGTCCAAGGTCAGATTGGGCACTCAACGGGTAGTTGCTCAGCTGTTTCTCCTCTAATTAAATGTGTAGAACAACACATTTAAACGTACAGGAAATACATTTTCTTTTTCCAAAATTTCAAAAAGGGCCAAACTTACAAGCATTGAACATTATTAGGTAGATGCTCATGGAAGACATTTTTTGAGGACCTACTGTTCCAAGGTGATTATTTTGAAGGTGATTTGTTATCAAGGCAGAGTGAATTCATTGACTCCTAATAAGTTAAGCTTTTCTGTTAGCAGGTTATTGAAGCTTCCCAAAGATCAGGCTCGGGTAAAGGCAGGACAGGGAGTCAAAGTGGAGTGGCAAAGGTCTCCTTGACTCGCACCCCTTCCTCTAGCAACCGTTCAGCACCAGCAAAGTCCGCAGCCAATCCAGGTATGAGTTATACAATAGATATGAAATGCTTGGCTTCAGTCTTACTGAAGCCCAATATTTTGTATTTTATGGACAAAAGTGTGTCCACTGATTTCTTTTTCACACAGCAGTTATCTCTCTTACCACAGGCTCCAAAACGGCCTCTAATGGAGAAGTCAGTGTGTACGTGGACTTGGCCTACATTCCCTCTGGATCCTCCTCTTCAACAGTCAGTGTGGACTTCTTCAGGTGTGTTCGCTCCTCCTGCTACATCATCAGCGGTGACAGTCCAGAGAGAGAGGAGCTACTGAGGAACACGCTGGACGCACTACTGGATGGCAAAAGATCCTGGCCTGACACCATGCAGGTAGAAACACAAACAAAACGACATAAATGCACATTTACACATAAATGACATCAGGTTATTGTTTGTTTAATGTAGCATTTAGCCTCAGAAGAGCTAACGAGAAAAACTTCAGCTCTGCCTGATAAACCCTTTATATCAGCCCATCGTTCTCTCTGTTACTCAGGTGACTGTGATCCCGACCTATGAGTCTGTGCGATGCAGGAGTGGTACCAGCAGACCCTGGATAGACAAAGGGAGCTGGGCATCACCGTGCTTGGATCCAATAGCACTGTCGCCATGCAGGATGAGACCTTCCCTGCCTGCAAGATAGAGTTTTGAAGAAGACTTGGTCATGCAGCAACAGGTGATGCATTTGAGCTCAAGGTCGGGCGTGTGTTTGTAAGATAGAAAAGTAGGCTAAACGAGCGACAGAAATCTGAAGTAAAAAACATGGTTTGTGGCTACATAAAGAGCATGGATTGGCCCCTCGTGCACGAACACAACTGATTGGGTGATGACACCCCAGCTTCTTCTGAATCGCTTCTCTTTTTGGGCAACGTTTGCACCCAAACGAGTAATTTCTCTCCATCCTTGGAGAACTGTTCCTGTGGGGAGTGTTGCTTTTTTTTTCTCTCTCTCTACCCATGACCCTGTGCAAAACAGGAGAGGAAATCACACTGGCTGCTAGAGATGCATGTCGGGCTGCAAACATGTGGATCCACATGAAAGCTGTAGATTAGTCACTTAAGTTAGCATACATGGGGTTAAAAGGGACAATGTGTCAGCTTGTCCTCTGTATACTAAGTAGTAGTTTTTGCTTGGTTAAAAGCTTTTAGTGCATTTTTTTCTTTCACTTAAATCAACCTGCTCCAGACAGCATCTGTCGTGTTTTATTTGTAAATGAATGCAGGAGAATCAAAAGAAAGTCTTACATTGTGATTGTAACCAGTGGTGTAGTGCAAGGGTATACCCAGGTATATGGAGTATACCCACTTGTTTTTCAGTCTCCATAGGGTATACCCACTTCTAAATACCCTCTGATTCACACCATTGATTGATTGAGTGACAGTATTCAGTAGTATGCTGCAATTACTGTCCTATACTGGTGAAGGGATGACCCTCCCTACTCTGTCTCCAATTGGCAAGTATACACTGACTTAGAGGAGTCTTACATGTCACTGTTGCTGGACTGGCCATTCAAATAAAACATTGTGGTAAATTAAAGAGTATACCAACTTCTCCAGGCACCACTTTCTGTAAGGGAAACACAGCGTGTGGTCAGGTGTGGGTTTTTAGCACTGTAAGCAATCGAGCTGTGCTGTTTGTTGTACCTGCGTCACTGCAACCTCACTTTTGACCACCAGATTGAAAGGACGTGGAGTTGTAAAAAAAAAAATCAGAGTGGATTGGACAAATCTGATGATAGTGAGTGATTATCGCCCACTTGATTTGAGATTACTCAATCTGGGTGTGCAAAGATAAATCCTTCAACAAGGATTAGAAGAGAACCAGATTAAATGTAATAGCATTAACGCGCTCATCTTATTAAAAATGGTAATTAATTATAATCCATTACAGCTGCTTAAAATCATCAGGAATGAGACAGTAAACGCTTTGGTATGCATTTTTATCTTACTATAAATACGTGATGATATGTATTTGGATTGTGGATATGGTCATACGGTTTATTTTACATGAATATTTTGCACTGCAGAAACACTTGGTGTAGTCACAGTGGGTGGTAACCACAGCTTCAAAGTATGTAAATACTAAATACAGATCATTTCAGGATTAGATTCTATTCCTTATTGGAAACTATCAAAGCTGACACTTAATGATTCTATACTGATTTGCTGTAATTGACGAACACACTGTAAATTGAATGGGTCCATATTTTCTTAGAAAGCTGCCTGAAATTTAAAGTATAATCTTGAACTAGTTAAAGGGACAATAAATGCAACGTGCAAGTCAAAATTCCCTTCCATGTTTTTGCATAAAAGATTACAAGAAGACATATAGACCTAAGAGTTGTTTTTAAAGAAATGACAAATGAATAATTTGATTCTGCTTAAATGCTGCCGCTCCTTCTAGGACATTGTTCTGGAAATATATCACTGCATATATATCACGACACAAACAACACAATATCATGAAATTAAATGATTAGGAAATTACAGAAGCAGAAAAGAAAAGCAGATTCATGATGGATGACATTGTTTTCTCTCCAGACATCCATAGTTTTCCTTTTAATTCATTGTGTCCTGTTTGAATGTCTTTACAATCCAGAGGGATGTAAAGAAATCAGGAATAATCCTCTTTGTTACTTTTCAATGTCATGGAAAGTTCTCACAGATGTGAATGTTTTTTTGTTTTTTTTTAACACCATAGCATGACATACCAAACACACCACTAAGCATTGTCCTGCCTGTCTGAATGCTGCCTCCAAAGTATATTTATGCAACTATTACATGTTTTATTTGTGAAAATCCTTTGTATTTATTTATTATTACTTTCACATTATGTTCATTACAACCCTCCAAACTCTCTCCTACATGTGACACAGTTTCTGAAAAAGGCAGGCAGGTTAAATGAAATATTGAGATTTGAGTTAGAATGGATAACCGGAACTTGAACTCCACTGTAGCGAAGTGAACTGTAACTATCTGTACGTGTCTGCATGTATTAACTATTGTATGTACTGTTTGATGTTTCATTCATGATATTCATGAAGACAGAGAGCAAAGCACTATGGGAGAGCAGAATGGTGGGATGAAAAACGAGGGTTGAAGGTTGACAACCTTTCACTTTGTAATTGTGTGTAGTCGAACACAGTAACAATGTCAATGTATGTGGATTTTGGGGGGGTGGGCTGGGATGATGAATAAAGAATGTGCATCACCATTCACACATGTCTGTTGAGAGTTTTTAAAGTGCAGATTCTTGATCAAAGCGTTCTAGGGGATGATGAAGGAAATTCCCAACATGTTGCATCTGAAAACAGGTCTGCTCCTCTTTTTTTTTTTTTTTTACCATTTTACCACAAAAAATACTCACGCAAAAAAAAGCTCAGACAAAATGTTAACAGAAATAACAGTTATTTTAACTTAATTTAAATGTAGACTTTATTTTGAGTACTTTTAATTTGAATCTGATTCTGGTCCATTCATCAAGACTAGTTTCTCGACATTTTATAACAGGATTGAGATTGTTCACCAGTTGAAACTGTGTCCCTCCAAACTACAAAAAATAGATCACTTTCACATAAAATGTTAAATTATTATAAAGGCTCTTTGGTAAACATGTCCTCTTTTCTCCTTGTATGATATTGAATAATTACTATAATCTGGATCAAATGTTGGTTTTATTTATGTAGGCTGTTCATATGAACCACTTTACCCATCATGTTCTCAGCTTGTGTTGCTGAAGTGAACTTGGTTTCATCTTTCGATTCAGAAAGAGAAACAGACTTGACTTGACACCGTTGGTGGGCATGGTCCAGTTCAAACAGTCATTTTCTCATATTCTTCTTTTCTTGTTTTTCTTGGTACAAGTGTGAGTGCAATATTCGTAGTGTGACTCTGTAATTGTAAGGGCATCGTTGCTATCTAAAGGCTTTTCCTGAAAGTCTTGCGCAATCTTGTTACGTTTGATTTGATACTTGTGACCTTTTAAGTTTTACAAAGCAGGGAAAGTTACTTTTGTCTTTCCCACGGTTAGCCACCAGATGTCGCTCTCGCTTTCATAACCACTGGAGTTCAGTTACAGAGACTTCTATGAAAATGTGACGGGCTCATGTTGCAAAATTGGGCCAACTACTTAACCAGTTTATTTTAGATCATTATTTGTTACTGGTGGTTTTCCTCACATTTGATAGGTTATCGTGCAATACAACGCCTCATATGCCTTCATCACCATATCAGAATAAAAAAAGCCAATGTACTTTCATGTAGTGTGAATGTATCACTCAGGGTAACCCTGTTTACGGTCTATGGTCCACATAAATAAACCCGCCGCCCACATGTCAAAGACGTTGGATCACGTCGGAGCCAATTGCAGAGCGTGTGAAGTTTCGGTCCCTCCTCCTCTCAGTCTCGGTATAAAGTGTGTGTCGCAACGTTGCCAACAACACAAACGCTGCCAAACACTGCTGCACAGCCTGCTTACACACTGCGTGAGGAAATATTCCAATCAGCGGACTACTGTCACGCTATCTCTCTCTCTTTCTTGGATTCATTCCTGATAGCGAAGATGATTCCAGAGACAAGCTTCGGAGAGAACAGGTGAGATTCTTTTTTTGTTGTTGTTGCAGAATTGGCTTCTTGCATGGCTTTTCTGAGACATGTGGATAGATAACAAGTGCTGGACAGGAATGTGTATCGTCCTTTGAACCTTCTCATTACTTGCACTGCAGGCGAAGTCAAACCGCACTTGTGTATGTTTTGGATGTAGGACACCTTAGTATTCGGGTGCAGTGCACAGATGTGAAGCAAAGTGCAGAGATTTGATGCAAAAAGTTATTTATTTTGCCGTCGCCGGACCTGCCTACCTTTATAACCGAAAACTAATTCATACACAACATACAAGCATATAACCGCTTTAAAGGTTGATGCACGAGTCATTTTTTTGAAGTCATAAACAGTGTTGAGTACTCACTTTGCACAATGCTGTGTATGCATGTTGCAGCGCGCAGGCTGTGTTGACTATGCAATACATAGGCCTATTATATAAGCTTTAAGATTTAGTACCTTTTTGTATATCACAATCATCCTGATGCATAATAACTCTTAACAATTATTTGGTGGAGGATATATATTTAAAAAAATTCCGAGGGCTTTTGTTTGACTTTTTTTTTAAGTACTTGGATATTTTGCAAACAGATCAGCAGCATGTGTAAACCTGTTTTTAATGCACATTATGAAACTTGAGTTGTTCTGTTTTTTTTTCTACCAGGATGCAATCCGCAGGGCTGGCTCTGGAGGAGTTGTTGGTCACGGCTCAGAAACAAGACTGCCTGACTGTTGGCATCTATGAATCAGCTAAACTTCTTAATTCGTGAGTTAAAACTACCTTTTCAGCTAATAACTTAACCCGAGCCAACAGTCTCAGACACCAGAGTGCTAATGTCAAAATGTGTACATTCATTTTCCCTCCTCAGGGACCCAGACAGTGTGGTTCTGTGCGTTCTGGCCACTGATGATTTAGATGATGTGGCACTTCAGATCCACTTCACCCTGCTGCAGTCCTTCTGCTGCGAGAGTGGCCTCAACATCCTGCGAGTATCAGGGGTCCAGCGGCTCCAGCAGCTGCTTTGTGCTGTGGATACCAACAGAAACCAGGAGGAGCACAGAGACCTCCACTGCATGCTGGTTACGGTGTGTTGACACAACACCAACAGCCCTCTATTATGTAACTGAAAGGCCATAGCAGGAATATTTTGTTACAGATGATTTTCATGTATCAGCTGATATGTTTACTTTTGAGCAATTACCGAGAGAGTGTTATTTAATTTTCTGGAACTTTACTCTTGTTTTTATACTACATTGGCAAGATTTGCATAACTAATGTGAACATGAAGTTGATGTTGTATTTTTTTTTCCTGTGCAGAACCCCCAAGCCGACCACTGCAGGCTACAAGAGGTGGGGACATACTGCCAGGAGAGTCGACGCCTTGACCAGTGGGTGCCTGAACTGGTCCTGCAGGAACGCTGAGGGGCCTGACACCCACATATATGAACAAAAACAGGAGCTTTCTGGGTTCAAATACTGGATCCGTTTCTGCTCACGCAGGGACAGCCTGGGAAAGGCTATCCCGACTGATGACTAGCAGGAACAGGGGACTCCCTCTCAGACACTTCTCAGACACAGTCAGAGTGGACACTGGTTATGAAGATCAGTGATGGGGAAAAAAAAACCACTCATGGAAAAGCAGATTCCCTATAAGACCCTGTCTTTTGACATCACCAGAAAAATAGATCCATGCTTCTATTTTGTGCCTCTGTTGTGTTTATGGGGTGTGACAGTCAATCAGCAGTAGCTTTGACTGAAAAATGTCCACACCCAGACGTGTACCTGGAGGATCAGTGCGTTTCTTTGGACTGGGCAGGAATGCTGTAATGAAACTATACCCAACATTCCTGTGTATTCTAACATGGGAGAGTCCTCAGAGATTATGTGTGCGTGTGAGTGTGTGGTATTTGTGTACAATCCTCAGGTCTTTCTTTAGAAAAGACTGGGCGTGCAGCGTGTGCGTTCCTGAAAAGAATGAGCAGCCAAACCTGTGGAGGAATTGTCACCATGGAAACTAAAATGGAATGATATTCATTATACAGACACAAGATTAATTGGATGAAATAGATAACAAAAGGGTTGCAGAACGTGTTTGTTTGGTAATAGGAGGATACAGAATGAAGCCGTATGAAGAAGTCTTATTTGTAAATTCTCATTGTGCTGTTGGATAGATCACACTCGGTATCCCAGTGCCTTGAAGATTGCTGCTTATGTTTTTTTTTTTGATCAAATGCTGTTAACTAAATATGAACAGTGCTGCATCAGTAACTTATTGATTGTATTCTGTGTTTGTTTTAATATTTATGGTATATATTTTTGCTCTGTTAATTAAACCAATAAATTAATATTCATAATTTATGAACCGCTTCATCAACAGGTTTGTTCTTAGATTTCCAAAACGTAAGCTATGTGTGCATCATGGTACAAGAGTTTACATTCAAGCTCACATGTGGAAAAGTCTTTGTGAGTGGATGGCAGTGAGAAAAAGAAATTCGGGTGAGGAAGAAACTTGTGTAAGAAAATATCAGGCAAAACAAGGTGTTGCAGACTTTCTGTCCCTGCAAGACAAGAAGGAGGGGAGGGGGGGGGAGCTGCTTTACAAATGCAAGGTGTACAGTGACTCTTTTTCTTCTGAACACTTTGCATCCTTCGTACTTGTTTAATGTCACATTATGCAGGTAAATATGCAAATTCTGAACCAAGAGCAAATTAGGCCCTGTGCTACCCCACCCATACTACATTGTCTGGAACATCCTCAACATTTCATCCTCCACTCTGCCCATGTGTCACTCTGTTTTTACTCCACCCTGCGCTCTCACATGTCTGTGCACAGCTTGGAGTGTAGAGCTGCAGAAAGGGAACACTCAGGCACATGGGCCTCCCATTTGTTTACAACCTAGTGGACAGGGGTGTGGCTAGTTAGGTGCTTACTTCTGATTGGCTGTGCTTCTTCCACCCGAAATATGATTGGCTTTGCGAGAGTCTATGGTTTTAAACTTGGAGGAGACTTTTGATTGTTGAAGCAGTTTTTCTGAAGGAACAGACACAGCCAAGACGGAGTACTCATGACAATAACATTCCTGACAAATGATCCACGTGGGAGGCTTTACAGTTCCTAGCAGTGTCCCTTTGTTTCTCTGCTTTGTGCAGCAGCTTTTCATCTTTGTATTGCACGCTATGTACCTATTTGGCCAGAAAGAATGTGGGTCCATGTGCAATTTGTACTTTTACAATCGTCGTGAGAAAAGTAAGATCCTCCTACTGAGACGGCACAGAAACAAAAGGAAAAACTGAAATATCTGAAGTTAATAATTAACAAGAGTCAAAGTCTACAGCTGTGCTTGTAGAAACTGTGCAATACTGAATTAGAAGATTTTAATGTCACAGTTATTGATTTTGACTTTCAGTCTCGTAAAAAGCACTTTCTTATAGGTTACAAGTCCTATACAACTTTTCTGAAAACTTGGATATTGCTGACTTAGCACTTAATAAAACACAAGTACCATTACATACTGATGTCTTTCATCAGCCTCTAATTGTCTTTTAATGTGACTTAACCCAAATTGAATGGATCTGTTGTTATTTCATTCATTCAAATAGTCTTAATTCTAACATTGTAAGTGCAAAAATGCCAATGCAGCTGTAATGTTATCCATAATGCTATCTGAGTATAGCATGTTAGCATGCAAACATGTAACTGTAAACCCAAATTACAACTGGAGCTGCTTGTAATATCAAAGTCATTCAGAGATACTGAAAATACTGAACAACTGGTTCAACAGCAGTGACTCACCTCAAGCATTAACTCAACCTAATGGTTGGTATAAAGAGTCAATGAATTCTCAGAGTCTTAGGATTCTTCTTCTAGAAAAATATCAATCCATCCATGAGTCGATGAGCTGTTTCACTTTAAAGAGGAAATATAAACTTGATGTCATGGGATTCATCCTCTGGGTACAATGTAAATATTTCAGCCTGCACCCAAAGTGGGTTAGAAACTGATTTACACACTGTTTGTAATGGAACTAGCATGATATACAATGGGAGCTAAAAAATCACATGAGAGCATGTATTATTATATCATCTTTTTATTAATGTTATCTACTTCTCAATATCATCTTTTTAACAGCAATATCCACAAAATATTAACAATGTGCAAGAAAACATGAGTTATGGCACATCAGAGAACAGTTACAAAAAATAGATATATTTTCTTCATAATCAATCAAGGCAAAAAGATACATATACTGTATGCATACACAGGAGATCAGAACACAAAAGATGAGTCTCAGGAAGGGCTCCGAGGCGATGCAGCGATGCTTGATTTCCACCAATGAGGAGCCTCAAATCTCCCCACCTGACTGGAATTTTTTTCACCGGGCTCGCTTTGTGTCACAACACCCATGGATTTTCATCTCGAACCATGTATTCTTAACACTGTTAGTTCTGTTGATCTGATAACCCTAAAGACCAGCATTAACACAATATACGCCACCATAAGGCAAACTAACAACCAATCAGACAAACTGTCAGCCGACCATAGATTGTAGGCCAGCTGTCTCTGATTGTAGCCCAACCAAATATGGAATGATTGAATAAATAAATATGATAAAAAAAGCATCCCCAGGACAACGTTACTGTGTGTGTGTGTGTGTGTGTGTGTGTGTGTGTGTGTGTGTGTGTGGTGTGTGTGTGTATGCATGCTTACTTTATGTTTAATTGTTTGCAGTTGCAAACCTCTTTGACTATCACTTTAACATTTCAAATTACAGGGAGCAGCCTCTCCTTTTTTAAACACAAACAATGAATCAGCATTTTCCTCAATCTTCCACGACATCATCATTTAGGGGAAGGCAAACATCACATTATGATAAATTATTCGGAGTTACTCGTTCGTTGATACTGTTTGGATTCAAGGTTTCCATTTGAGCGGGCTAGTTGTGGTATTTCCTAAGCTAGTTCAATATTTTTGTTTTTATTTTTAAGAAAATCAGCGTTCAAATTTAGCGTCACATTTAGGGAAATACTTTTTATGGGTTAGTTGCAGCGAGTTCACTAGGAAGTTCAATAAGTCTGTTTGTTGAATAATAGCTACATCCAACAGCTGGTTAGCTTAGCTTAGCAACTACTAAGCTAGTCCTTCACATAGTAGATAAGACTTAAGTGATATTTAACATGTACGTAAATGTGCTTAAAGGATCGTACTGTAACACTTAGGGCCACATAAGGTTAAAGTTATAGATTATAACTAATTTACAAACACTCCCTCAACCTCCAGAAGAAGCTGTATCGGTTTCTAACTTGTAGAAAACAGCGAAAGTTCCATTGTGTTGCCCATGTTTTTCAATTTCAACTGATCCTCTCATCTAATAGTCTGCAAAAAGCAAAAGGCCTAAGTTTGTTCCCAAAATGCAAAACTATTCAGGCTGCAGTCTAAAGCTTTAATAAGTGGTGAAAATAAGCTGCAGCTAATAAATGCAACTGACTCAGGCACAGATGGGGCTAAACAACAATGACGAATACAAAATATATTTCAAAAGGGAATTAGTCAGCTTAGTGATCATTATTGTTAAAGTCATCACATCAAAATAGCTGCTCACACTACAACTGAACAATTTAAGCTCTTGACAGAATCCTCTTTTGCACTTCTCCAGTCAATAGAAGAGTGAGTGAAGGCCATGCATACTGGTCTGACTGTGTCGCATGACCTCTCCTCCGGTCAGTCTCACCCTGACCTGGAATTGCAGGGCTGCAATTACTGTCACGTTACTGTGACGCTCTGAAACAGCCCTGGAGGCACTGTGTGTTCTTACTCACTGTGTCTCTCCCACTACACACACACAGGCGTATATACACACTCATGCGTGCACCTCTGCTATCTCTCCTCTGCCTCCTGCTCTGCCAAATCATTCTTCTCAGCTACCGAAGACCCACACACACAGGCACACACACGCACAAACACACGCACACCCTCAGTGTTCTCTGTATTTTTGGAACGGCCTACACTGTCTGTGTGGAATAACGGCTAATTTAAGACTTAGAGGAGGGCTGTGTCAGAGCTATTCACACAACTTTATTTTGCAATTAAGCCGTGATTTCCGTTTTTTCTCCTCATTTAAAAAAAAAAAAACTTTTGTTTACCTACATGCTAAATATGTGATGAGTAGATTGGTACTAATCTCCTGTATGTGCATTAAATATGATGCAGCAGCTAGCTTAGCTTAGCATACATTTTCAAAATAGCAAACATAAAACCTTGCTCTGTCGAAAGCTAGCAGCATAGTCTCATCTCACGCTTATAATATTTTTAATGTACTGATTTGAAAAATAAATAAATGTAACATGTTATTTAGTTAACATTACTTTTGTCTCAATAAATTTTGTAACCTTTGGACAGAGCTACGCCAACCTTTTTCAGTCATTATGCTAAGCTAAGCTAACTGGCAGCTACAGCTTCATATTTGAAGTTCACAAATTTCAAACGTCTGCAAATTGAAGCTTTAAGCTCTCCCCAGCAAACAGTCTGCCTTCCAAACTGTGCATACACCAGCAAATGTGGACCCACCAAAAGACAACCTCACCAACTTCCGCCCCTTCCGCCCACTGGACTCCCAGAAGTCTGTGTGGCAGCAGGTAGCTCATATTGACCAAGTGATTAGAGAAGAGAAAGGGAGCAGGTTCATCTCACCTGGCGGTCCATCAGCAAGCACAAATCCTGTCCAAATAACTCCACCCTCCTCTTTCACTGTACATTAGTCCTGACAAAAGCCTTTGCTAAATGCTCAAATGTAAATATGACAACACAAAGCTCTTCTCTTTCATCAATTAACCATCAAAAAGCAGCTCTATGTGGCCAGCCTTGACACTCCTTTAACCTTTGACTGCTTACAAACCTAAATAGGAGCTGCACAAGAGAGAGTGTGTTATGTAAAAATGTGTGTTGTCCTAGTTGCCTTTCACGCACCAAATGCAACACAAGAGAAATGCTTGTGGGCTACTATAGTGTTAAAGGATAGATCAGGAGGTTGGTTTTTGCCTCTGGAATGAGGTCTGATGTTGATTTATCCTCTTACAGGACACAATCCTAAACCTAACAGGTTTACATTTTCAATCTTACTCTTTATTTTGATATATCCTCATCAGGTGTCTGTGTTTGTGTCTCTGGTTAAAACCATCCTCCACTATCATAAGCCTCTAAAACCTGAATGACCAAAAATGAACTACAACAAAAGAAGACAAACATGATCTTGACTGATAGAACAGAATAAGGAGTACTAAAAGAAAAATCTAACATCCACAGAGAGGGATTCTGTGTTTAGATTTGTTATCTTACAAACACTGTACAGGGCAATACTCAA